TGTACATTGGTTGCGGGCACATCCCCGGTAGAGGGTGTGCAAGAGGCAGTTGGTCTATGTTTCTCTCTCATCGACGTTTCTAGCTCTCTATCTCTCCTCCCTTCCTCTCTGTAAAAAATCAATAAAATATATTTTTTTAAAAAATAGATGCTTGAGTAATTAAGAATGACAGCTAGCAGACAGGCAAAGAGGGCATATTGGTCCCATCTGCTTGCAGAAAAAGCCTGAGGAGACACACAAGCAGAGAACCTGTGGATTGCTTGGAGCTTAAAGCAGGGTGCTAAAAGCAGAAAGAAAGTGCCTAACAATGGTTAGCACCTAAGTAACTAACAGGAAGCCTAGAATTGGCAGACAGAACTGAAGAGTGGGGCCCTAAACCAGCTCCCATGGGGCATTAAAACTTAGCTAAAGCTAAAGCGAATGACATTTCATTTCTGTTTTATAAGTGTGGTCCCTCAGCCTGGCCTATGGGATGGGGCCAAAACCGCTCTCTGACATCACCCAAGGGGTCCTGGATTGTGAGACCCCTCTAGGGTGAGGGACCCATCAGAGCACAATCAGAGCTGGGGAGGGACACAGAAGATTGGCCAGCCAAGGAGGGATTGCATGAGGGCTCCAGAGCATGTCCAGTCTGCCTCATTCAGTCCCAATCAGCCAGACACCAGCAGCAAGCTAACCTACTGGTCAGAGCATCTGCCCCCTAGGGGTCAGTGCATGTCATAGCGACCATTTGGCCAGTTGACTGCTCCCAGGTGGTCAGTGCACATCATAGCAACTGGTCAAACAGTTGAGTGTCTGCCCCCAGGTGGTCAGTGCACATCATAAAAAGCAGTTGAGCGGCCTTAGCATATCATTAACATATTACACTTTGACTGACCAGCCGACTGGACACTTCCATAATAAGCTTTTATTATATAAAATTTTTGTTTTTCTAATTTTACTTATTTTCTTCCTTTCTTCTTTTTTTGCTCCCATTTTCCTACTCCTTTCTCCGTTTTAGTTTTTCTCTTTCTTTTTTCCCCTTTTTAAAAATTGATCTTCTTTATCACCTTAGTGATATATTATTCTAGTATCTCTTGGTTTATTCATTTTATCTAATTTCTTCTTCCCTGCTTCTACTCCATTACCTCTTCTCTTTTCTTTTTCTTCACTACTCTTTTTTCTCTCTCTCTTATCTTGCTCTTTTCTCCTAATTTTTAAACTTCTTTCAGATCCTCAATTTAGGCCTATCTGCCCTCTTCTCTCCTCTCCTTTGCAAAGAAATAAAAATTTTTCATTAATATTTTTCTTTTCTTCTTGTTTCCTTTCTTTTCTCCCTTCTATATCCTAAACCAGGGTCCTTCCCCTATTCATCTAATTCCTTAACCTTATGTTCTTTATTTAAGCCCTGCAACTAGAGATTCTGCCCTCCATCCCTTTCTAGGTATTTGTGCATTTTGGTTTATTTGCTTGTTTTGTTGTGTTTTCTCCACATATTTTTTCATTCTATTTTTCTCACTATCATTCATGCTCTCTTTTCTCTTTCCTAATTCTCTTTTGGCTGGTGGTCACATTTAAAGGGGTTATAGGTGCCTGTGTACACTAGTGTTCTGTTCCTTCTGTGTCATGTCTTAGCTTGTTGTATTTTGTGCTGTTCAGCCAGTACCTCCACAACAGTTGGGATTTTGTGGCAGGCAGCAAGCCACATATCCTGTTTCCCCGAAAATAAGACAGTGTCTTATATTAATTTTTTCTCCCAAAGTTGCACTAGGTCTTACTTTCGCAAGACTGAAGAGTCCTGGGTTCAATTCCAGTCAAGGATATATCCCCAGGTTGAGGGCTTGATCCCTATAAGGAGCCTGCTGGAAGCAGCTGAAATGATTCTCTCTCCTCATTAATGTTTCCATCTCTCTCTCCCTCTCCCTTCCTACCTGAAATCAATTATATACATATATATATATATATATATATATATATATATATATATGACCCAACTATATCAGGAGAACACAAATATCTCAAGTAAGGAACTTCCCTAGAACATACAGCCCAGGAGACCTGAAAGAATGCACCACTGGATCCCACAAGACATCTACGAAATAAGATCAGTTCAAAATGTGGATGGCATAGCAGTTTGATCTAATACATAGGAATAATTAAAAGAACAGCAAAAATGGAGAGACAAAGACACAACTCCCAAATGAAAAAGAAGGAAGAATTATCAGAAAAGAAAATAAATGAAACAGAGGCAAGCAATTTCATAGAGAAAGAATTCAGGGTAATGGTTATAAGGATATTGAAATGTCTGGATGTGATATTCACCAACATGTATAAAAATCAAGAGGAAATGAAAAATGACATAGTGGCAATAATGAAGACAATGGAATGTTTCAACAGTAAACTAGAAGAAACTGAGAACCCAATCAGTGAATTAGAAGACAAAGTAGAAAAAACTACCCAACAAAGCAGCAACTGGAAAAAAAGTTTTTTAAAGGAAAACAATCTAAGCGAGCTATAAGACAACAAGAAATGAAACAACATCTAGCCGAGACAGGTTTGGCTCAATGGATAGAGCCTCGGCTTGGGGACTGAAGGGTCCCAGGTTCGATTCCGGTCAAGGGCATGTACCTTGGTTGTGGGCATATTCCCAGTAGGGGTGTGCAGGAGGCAGCTGATTGATGACTCTCTCTCATGGATGTTTCTAATTCTCTCTCCCTTCCCTTCTGTACAAAATCAATAAAAATATATTAAAAAAAAAAAAAAAGTCTGTAAACAAAAGAAAAGAAAAAGAAACAACATCTATATAATAGGGGTGCCAGAAGGAGAAGATGATGAGCAAGGAATACAAAATCTTTTTGAAAAATAAAGTCAGAAAACTTCCCTGACTTTAGAAGAAAAATGTCAGACAAGTCCAAGAAACACAGAAAGTCCCAAACAAGATGAACACAAAATGACCAACACCAAGACACATTATATTTACTAGTAAATTGTCAAACGTCAAGGAAAAAGTGAGAATCTTAAAGGTTGCCAGACAGAGACAGAAAGTTACCTACAAGGGAACTCCATTAGACAATCAACCTATTTCTCAACAAAAGCATAGCAGGCCAAAAGGAAAAGCAATGAAGTATACAAAATGATGCAAGGCAAGGAACTAAATTAAGAATACTATCTAGTCAGGGTACCATTCATAATTGAAGGGGAAATCAGGAGCTTCACAGACAAAACAAAAGGCTAAGGGAGTTTATTATACCAAGCCAGCAATGTAAGAAATGATAAAAGAACTGTTGTAAAAAGAAGAACTAGAAAAGGAAGGAGTACAGATATAAATAATAAAAATGACAACAATAGTACCTAAAATAACCTTAAAGGCTCCAATCGAAAGACACAGGAAACAACTAATTGATATTTCTCTCTCATTGATGTGTCTAACTCTCTATCCCCCTCCCTTAAAAACGAGCAAAGGGCCTAAATAAGATACTTTTCAAAAGAGGTCATACAGAATGCCAAGAGACATATAAAAACATGCTCCAAGTCACTAATTATCTGAGAGATGTAAATCAAAACGACAATAAAGTACCATCTCACACCAGTCAGAATGGCTATCATAAACGCATCAACAAGTGACAAGTGCTGGAGAGGATGTGGAGAAAAAGGAACCTTCGTGCACTGCAGATGGGAATACAACCACTGTGGAGAACAGCATGGCATGTCCTCAAAAAATTAAAAATGGAATTTCCATTTGACCCAGTAATTCCACTTGTAGAAATATATCCCAAGAAATCAGAAACACCAATTAGAAAGGATATATGCACCCCGATGTTCATAGCAACACAATTTACAAATAGCTATGATTTAGAAACAACCTAAGTGCCCATCAGATGAGTGGATTAAAAAACTGTGGTATATCTACACAATAGAATACTACGCTGCTGTAAAATAGAAGGAACTCTTACCATTTGCAGCAGCATGGATGGACCTGGAGAGCATTATGCTAAGTGAAATAAGTCAATCGGAGAAAGATAAATATAACGTGATCTCACTCATTTGTGGACTATAATGAACAACATAAAATGATGAACAAAAAGATCCAAAGACATAGAAGCATCAAACAGACCAACTTCAGAGAGAAGGCAGGGGGTTGGGACAGGTGACAGGAGGTCAACCAAAGACTTGTATGCATGCATATATAAGAATAACCTATGTACACAGACAGTACTGGGGTAAAGGCATGTGCCAGGGGGTGGGAATGGGCACAGAGAGGTCAATGGAGGGAAAAGGAGGTATATGTAATACTTTAAACAATAAAGAATTCTTTTTTCTTTTTTTTTTAATATATTTTATTTTTTACAGAGAGGAAGAGAGAGGGATAAAGAGCCAGAAACATCCATGAGAGAGAAACATTGACCAGTTGCCTCCTGCAACCCCCTACCGGGGATGTGCCCGTATCCAACATACATGCCCTTGACCGGAATTGAACTTGGGACCCTTCAGTCCGCAGACCAACGCTCTATCCACTGAGCCAAACAGGTTTCAGCAACAATAAAGAATTCTATAAAAAATAGTCTAAAATCTAAGAAATACAACTACACATAAAAAGACCACTGTTTTTTCTCTCAGCCATACATTTTCCTTTTCAATAGTTCTTATAATTGTGTTTATTCCCTTCCAATCTTTTGAAAACAAAATGAGCCGAGGTCGGTTTGGCTCAGTGGTAGAGCGTCGGTTTGCGGACTGAAGGGTCCCAGGTTCAATTCCGGTCAAGGGCATGTACATCAGTTGTGGACACATCCCTGCCCGGTAGGGGGTGTGCAAGAGGCAGCTGGTCGATGTTTCTCTCTCATCGACGTTTCTAGCTCTCTATCTCTCTCCCTTCCTCTCTGTAAGAAATCAATAAAATATTGATATATTTTAAAAAAAGAAAGAAAACAAAATGAAATACCTTGTAGCACTTAAATTTTGTAAATGTTTGGTGTTTAGAACATAAATGTTTCTAAATATTTAACCCAGTATTTAGTTCTTACCTGCAGTTTCTGATGTATTTGGAATAATTCATCATATATCTGATTGATCTGATGTGGAAGGAAACTCTGCTTATTTGATGCTTTAGATGTTGGATCACTCACACGTTTCAAAGGAGAGTCACTTGCATCACTACAACATTCAGTCCAATTTCTTGAATTTGAGGCCAAATTAGTTGGCCAGGCTACTGCTAAGAAAATAAAAGTTTTAAACTTTATTAATTTAGTTTTAAATATTCATAGATAATCTTCAGGAAGAACTACTTTAAATATGAATTCTAGTATATTTTTGAAGTTTCAAGTAACTTATGCGGAAAAAATGATACAGCAAAGGTAGTAAAAATGTGGATAAAGGCTATACAGAATTCTTTGTGATCTTTTGGATACTTTTCAGTTTGAAATAGTTTCAAAATAGACTTCAAAGTGCACAAAAACACTCATGTATTAATTGTTTAGGATAAGAAATGTTGTTACCTCAGAAACGCCTGATCATATGATAACCACTAACCCAAATGTAGTCTTAATCATTGTTCACTTGTTTTTAAATTTTGCTACTTATATTTTTTAAAAAGGCCTTATTTGCCTTGATAAGCGAGTAGTGTTTTAGAGGCTTATACTGGCTACAAATTCTCTCTGCATTAAATATGCTTTCATATAGTTCCTTTTGAATTTATTCAACTTGTTAAAATAATTCCAATGAATTATAATTGCTCTCGCTAAGGATACTCAATTTTTATTTAGATTCAAACTAGCTTTCCCCCTAATTATATATACCTCTCATCAATCTGCCCCCCAGTATTTATGCATTCAAACTCTACAACACTGCCCAAAACTGAAAAATATTAGGTGTATCTTTATTCTGCTCACTATAGAAAAATTATTCTTCATCACTGCTCAGCAAAATCATCATATATGCTTAATGCTTAATCAACACTTGTATTATTTCATTTTAGTTTTTACAGTTTTCTTCTATTGTAGTGAAACTGTTACTGGTTTTTAAGAGCCATTTTATGACTAAAGATGTTAACAATTTCTCATGAAATGCAAATGAAATACCATATTTTCTGTTACTACCGTGTTTCCCCAAAAATAAGACATCCTCCAAAAATAAGACCTACTTACAGGTTTCCTTCTGAGTGAAATATAAGGAATCCCAAAAAAAATAAGGCCCCCCTAGGCTAAACATGAGAGATTTGGTCCACTGATTCTGAAAGAAATGGAATCACAAGAAATTCACCAGGAAATTCAGGAATTAGATTGTTATGATGATGTTCCAGAAGATGATGACATGGTTGTCATTGAATAAATGAGTAAATTCTTGATACTGTAGGATTCACAGTTTGTCTGGTTTGTGTTGACAACTACCGTACTACCGTACCGTATACAGGTAATAAATTTCCTTTATTTTCATTTAACAATAAATGTGTACCGTATTCTTCTTCATGAAAAAATAAGACACCCCCTGAAAATAAGACCTAGTGCATCTTTGGGAGAAAAATTAATATCAGACACTGTCTTATTTTTGGGGAAACAGGGTATTTTACTTTGATGTTTTATTTTTTTTTTTATTGTACCAAACTTGTGTATTATATATAATCATGTTCTGTTTTAAAAAAAAAAAAAAAAAAAAAAAAAAAAAAAAAAGACTTGCCCTGATTGGTTTAGTTCAGTGGATAGAAAGTTGGCCTGTGGACTGAAAGTTCCCAGGTTTATTCTAGTCAAGGTCATGTACCTTGGTTGAGGGCACATCCCCAGTAAGGGGTATATAGAAGTCAGCTGACAGATGTTTCTCTCTCATCGATCTTTCTAATTCTCTATCCCTCTCCCTTCCTCTCTGTAAAATATATATTTTTTTTAAAAAACAAAAACATAAAATAAATAAAAATAAGGTTTATTTGGTTTTTGCCTATCTTTAGCTTTGTATAATGTCTCTTAATATATAATGCAATTATGTAATTCCTATAACCTCCTCATTTAAATAACATGTTCTTATTTTAATGCCAGAATTATCTTGACTGCTTTATCCTATATATATATTTTTACTAGAGGCCCAGTGCACAAAATTCATGCACGGGAGAGGGAAGGTCCCTCAGCCCAGCCTGCACCCTCTCCAATCCGGGATCCCTCTCGAAATCTGGGCCAACTGGTTCCTAACCACTCTCCTGCCTGCCTGCCTGCCTGATTGATCTTAACTGCTCTCCCTGCTAGCCTGATCCCCCTAACTGCTCCCCCCTGCCGCCCTGATTGCCCTTAACCACCTCTGCCTAGGCCCCATCTCCTTGGCTTTATCAGGAAGGATGACTGGAAGATGTCTGGTCTAATTACCCTTTTTTTAGTAAAGATATGCCACATAATGGCTATCAATGTGGCAATAGTGCTCTCAAAAACTTACAGCCAAGAGGGCCTCATCTCTGACTGCCTCTTTCCCTAAAATCCTAACAGACCTATGCAGCCAGGAACATAGAGATTAAATACCAATTCAGTGTCTAAGGAGGCCATACCTTAAGTAATCTGGGATATTTTCTAAAAATATTAAAGTATTAGTCAAATACTACTAACAATATTTTACTCACTTCCTAACAAATACTGACATGAAAAAGAACTAAAGAAATTATACAAAGTATTCATTTGATTAACTTATTTTCATAAGTTTTGAGAGTTTAGAAATACTACTAGAAAAAAATGAAGTTTATTTTTCTTCTTTCCTTTAGTTTAATAATAAGCACAGTAACTATGTCATGGTTTACAAAAATTAGAACACAGAAATGCAGACACTTGAGGACAAGTGTTATTACTATGGGATAAGCTTTATATGTACTACTTCACAAAGTTATTATTTAAATGATTATTCTAAAAAGAATATTTCTTTTACCTTTTTCTACTTCTTTAAAAGACTGCTTGGTTACTTTGGAGCTATTCACTCTATGATCCTTCTCAATTAACTCTACTTCTTTTTCCTGTTGCTTCAAATTATGAAAAGAATCCAGTTCATCATCTAGGCTTTAAGAAAAATTATGTCAAAGCATTCTAGAAGTTTACTATAGCATTCTAAAAAGATAAAATTGGTTTTAAAATATTAACAGCATCACAACTGAGAAAAATGTAACACATAAACTTTTTTAAAAGCAAAAAGTAAAAATATAAACAGTAAGTCATTGATCCTGCAAACTCACTAAAAGTATCTTTCTACAGATACAAATACTAGAGGCCTGGTGCTAAAAGAATTAGTTTAACATGAGGAAACTGAACCCTAAATCATTTAAATAACTGACAGATGATGCAACTAGTAAAAGATGAAAGAGAACTAGACTCCTAAGTGTTCTCATCAAAAAGATGACCTCATAGTTGAACTTTCTCAAAGCTGAAAGTACTATTCAAAAAAAACATAATACAAGTCACACCAGGTTAATTTAAATTTTCTAGTAGCCACATTAAAAACATAAACAATTGTAAAATTCTAACAATATTATATTTAACCTAGTATATCTAAAAGATTATCCTTTGAAGATGTAATCAGAAATTTAAATTTAAATATTTTACATTTTGGGGCTCATTTTCTTCAATCTGATGTGTATTTTATTTTATTTTATTATTATTTTTTTAATCAACTTTATTGTTCATATTATTACAAAGGTTCCTCATTTCTTCCCCCCTACACCAGGTTCCCATCCCACCCTCCGCCCCCTCCCCATCCCCCATTGTCCTCATCCATAGGTGCACAGTTTATATTCAGTCTCTTCCTCCCTCCCTTTCCCCCGATAGTAAATCCCTTTTCAGATAGTAAATCAGTTACTTAGCATTTTCTCATATCAATAATACCTCCACATGCCCAAAGATACATTTCACACAAAAGACATTTCCAAATAGGTCAACTAGCCTCATCCAGGCCCCACCCAAGGCACTCACAGATCAACACCCCAGCCCTATACTAACTCAACACATCCAGATCTAAGCCTTCATCACTTGATTCAGCAGACCCTCAAGTTCCCCCAAAAGTTTCCAGCCATGTCTGAGAGGCAGCTGTGGGGCAGGGGCAGGCGAGGAGCGAGCTGTTCCGGGCCTGGCCGCTCCCAGCCTGGCAGCCGCTGCTCCAGACCTGGCCGCTCCCAGCCTGGCAGCTGCTGCTCCGGGCCTGGCCGCACCGGACCCAGCTGCTCCGGGCCCGACCACTCCGGGCCCAGCCGCTCCCAGCCTGGCAGCCGCTGCTCCGGGCCAGGCCACACCAGACCCGGCTGCTCCAGGCCTGGCCGCTCCCAGCCTGGCAGCTGCTGCTCCGGGCCTGGCCACCCCCGTCCAGGCTGCTCTGGGCCCGGCTTCCCCAGGCCCAGCCGCTCCGAGCCTGGCCGCTCCGGGCCTGGATGCTCTGGGCTTTGCTACTGCTGTTCTGGGTCTGGCTGCTCCCAACTCGGCTGCTCTGGGCCCGGCTTCTCCGGGCCCGGCCACTCCGGGTCTGGGTGTTCCTGGACTGGCCACCCTGGGCTTGGCCACCTCCGCCTCAGGCCTGGCTGCCACTGCCCCAGGTCTGGCTGCTCCAGTGCTGGCTGTTGATGCTCTGGTTCTGGCTGCTGCTGCTTTGGGGCCTGGCCGTTGCTGCTCCGGGCCTGGCTGCCACTGCCTTGTGCCTGGCCGCTCTAGGCCTGGTCGCCGCTGTTCCAACATTCTGTCCTTTTTTTTTTTTTTTTTTTTTTTTTTTAAAAAAACGCATTTATGTTGCAATGTTGGCTGGTGAGTTGAGTTCTGACTTAGTCTTTGATTTTTCAAGAACTTCTTTGTATTCTTTCTTAAGTAATTTTACTATCTTTTGCTCTCACTTGATTTCTTCACATTGAGAACTTCTTCGGTTTCTTCCTCCTTGTCCTGGGAGCTCAGCAGGTTGGCCTGTGGCACCCCTTTGTTCTCCGCGGGCTCCTGTGCTGCTTCAGCCTGTTGCTGGGGTCGGCGCCTCCCAGGAAGCAGCCCCAGGCCTTGGCTCCGTTGCCCGCGCTCAGCAGTTGAAGGCTCAGGGGCACCCCCCGCCCTGTGGGCCCCATCGCCCGGCTCCTTGCTGGCGCCCGGCTGGCCGGTGTCCGGCAGGGGCTCCTGCTCCTCGAAGCGTTCCTCCAGTCTGGAGCTTTTTTCCTCCTTCCCGCTAGGGGAGTCTAGCATCAGAGGCAACAGACTGTCCTCTGCGCGCACTGTGCGCGACACTGGGAACTCTGCTTTTCGCCACTCCCCTGGGATTCCACCTCACAGTCCCGTCTCCCCCTGCCTGAGCCTGGGTCCCCAGGGTCTGGCCTAGGACTGGGGTTCGGAGCAGTCCGGACTGAGGCTCAGCACCGCCGGAGGCTTTGTTTCTTCCGGCTAGGGTAATCCAGCATCAGAGTCAACATTCAGTCCTCTGTGCGCAATGTGTGCACGACTCCAGGGGCCCTGCTTTTCGCTGCTCCCCTGGGATTCCGCCTCACAGCCCCGTCTCCCCCTGCCGGAGCTTGGGTCCCCAGGGTCTGGCCCATAACTGGGGCTCAGCGCTGCCGGTTAGGGGGTTCAGCCCAGGCTGGGGGTTTTATTTCCTTCCTGCTAGGGAACGCCAGGCAGCACCCAGCCTTCTCCTCCTCTCCGGCTGCAACCTCTCCACGCGCGCGTGTGGACGGGCGCGCAGCATGTCTCTGTACCTTAGGCTTTTTTTCAGTTCCTCTGATTTTCTTTCTGGTTTTCTCTTTCCTTCTTGTTGTAGAATTTTCAGTCAGTCGACTACCTGTAGCTCTGGGCAATGCCCACTCTACATTTTAGTTGTATTCCATTGAAATTGTTGTGCGCTGCTGCGGTTATATGTCTACCCAAGCAGCCATCTTGGATCTCCAAAAATCTTTATTGTTCTGATGTGTATTTTAGATTTCCAACATACCTCAGTTTAGAAAAGCCCAATTTCAATAACTGCTGCTTGCAGCTACTGTGTTGGACAATAGTATAATTCTACAGTAGGTCATAACGAGTGAAAAAACTGTCCAACGATATAAAACACTTTATAGTCAAAACAGTTTAAAGTGCCGAAACGGGTCAAGGGCATGTACGTTGGTTGCGGGAACATCCCCAGTAGGGGGTGTGCAAGAGGCAGCTGGTCGATGTTTCTCTCTCATCGACGTTTCTAGCTCTCTATCTCTCTCCCTTCCTCTCTGTACAAAATCAATAAAATATATTTTTTTAAAAAGCTTTAAATTATAATTTGAAATATACCAAGAAACAAAAAGTTATAAAATTACCAGTAAAATCCTATATAAGAGAGGAATATGCTAATTATCCGTTAAGCATAACGATTGACTGTGTAACAACCAGATCACTGATCTGCAGGAGGGTGGGGCATTGAACTACAAGCAGGCAACAAGCTATTAGGGGGAGAAAGGGAAAGAAGATGGAGGAGCTATCGGAGGGCAGGGCAGAAGGTGGAGAGCCAAAGGAGGACAAAAGCAACCTACTGGTACATGGATTAATATGCAGGGCTACCTGTATCATAATAAAAGGCTAATAAATGGTCACACACTGTGACACCATAACAACCGATCAACAGGGACCTGAGGCTGTGCCCCCCACCTGGTGCCAGGCTGAGGGACCTGAGTCTGCGCCCCCCTGCCCAGTGGGGCTTGAGGGAGTAGGGCCAGATAGATCTGGGTCTCACTCAATGGTGGTGGGGTTGGCCAGGTCTGGGTCTCGCACGATTTTGAGATGCACACTGGTGGGCAGGGACTTGACTCTGGGTCCTGAGGCACACCCCAGACTCTGACAGAAGGGAGATTTTCATAAATATTTTACTAATTTTCTTTCATCTCTTACACTTCTATTATAGAGAAAGGGCAAATAGCAATATTAAAATATTTCTTCTAATTCCCTTTTAATGTGCATGAATTTTGTGCACCGGGCCACTAGTAAGAAAATAATTTCCATGAATTCTTAATTATTTTAAAGTAATTTTCACTTTCCTTACTCTCTATTCAATATATCTCATGTCCAAATGCTTAATCCGGATCAACTAGGCTACTCTGTGAATGATAGAGTAATAACGATAATGACCATATTTGAATGTTTTTCTATGTGCTGAACACTGTTTTAAGTGCTGTACATAGATTTTCATTAAAGTAGAGAATGAAACAATTATATTAAAATTTTAAGCTACAAGCCCTAGCTGGTTTGGCTCATTAGATAGCACGTTGGCCTGCAGACTGAAGGATCCCGAGTTTGATTCCAGCCAAGGGCACAGGCCCGGGGTTGTGGGCTCAATCCCCAGTGGGAAGTGTGCAGGAGGCAGCCGACCAATGATTTACTCTCATCATTGATGTTTCTCTCTCTCTCTCTCTCTCTCTCTCTCTCACTCTCTCTCTCTCTTTCTCTCTATCTCATGCTTGCTCCCTTCCTCTATGAAATGAATAAAAAAATATACTTTAAAAAAATTTAAGCTACCAAATATCAATTACTTTAATAATATATGGTATTTTAGGCACAAGTGTCTTTTTTTCACTCCATAATTATCTCAAAATTTCATTCTGTATCTGTCTTAGTTGTTTAACATTATTTCAAAACTGGAGGTAGGGTGTCCCTCAGCCCAGCTTGCCCCCTTTCACAGTCCAAGAAACCTCAGGGGCAGAGGCAACCCGACGATCAGGGAAAGGCGACAACCCATCACACCTCTGCTGCTGCCACTGCAGGCAGTGCAAGCCTCAGCTGGCCCTGGTTACCTGAGCCTCGGGCAGCCCTGCGCCTCGAGCTAGCCCTGGGCAGCTGGAAAGCTGAGAGGACTGGGCGCAGCCATCCTGTGTCTGTGGGTGTCGCCATCTTTGAGGGTCTGGCAGTCAATTAGCATATTCCCTCACTGTCTGTGGGCGCCACTATCTTTGTGAGGTGTGATGGTCAGTTAGTATATTCCCTCTTTATTAGATAGAATGTTTAACCCTTAATACAAATAGTACTTCTGACACATATTTTTGGCATTTAATAAGATTGAATTTGGAATTTTAACTTAGCTTCTACTATTGTTTTGTGTATATATGTGTGTACCTTTTTAATTATATTCTTATTGATTTCAAAAAGGAGGACAGAGAACAAATCAAATGATCCACTGCCTTTTGGCCCCTTATTGAGGATCCATCTTGCAACCAGGCTTGTGCCTTTACCAAGAATTGAACCAATACCTCCTGGTTCACTGGTCAATGCTCAAGCATTGAGCCACACTGGCCAGATAGCTTCCAGTGTTTTTATACTTGTTTTATCCAGGGTTTATACTAAAACTACTAATCCCTCACAGCCCACTTAGCATCTCTCTCAGCCTATCTAAAATCCATTGTATATCACACTACTAGACATATACTGCTATTCAGCAGGCTCCAGATTGCTTATACTTCCTCTCAGAGAAAAGCAAACACATAAATAATCCATCCTTTGCCTTTTTTCAGTGTTTTGAGGTACTGAAGCGTTAACAACAGTAAGGATACAGGGTAATTTACCAGTTCATGTTGAAGTGCTTGGATGAACTATAAAGAGGTATAGTGGAATGCTTTCTTTCATCAGAATACGATCTTAATGAGGAATCAATTTTATCTCCAGATGAGCAGACATCCAAGTCATCTATTAAGAAAAAAGAAAATAGCAGAGATTACTTACCTAATTATATTATTCTAGGCTCCTAAAGATAAAATAGCAAAATTAGTGAAAGAATTTCTTATATCTATGTCTCCTTAATGCAAACTTCCAGAAAATAAACAACTCTTATATTTATACTATAGCACTTTACTGATTAAAGCTTTTTCATCCATTACCTCATTTGATACTAACCCCTAAAACCAAGCAGTACAAGTTCTTTTAATTCTATTTTAATGGTTAGAAACCAAGACATCAGAGAAGTTATGCAAATTTTCTCACAACCAGCAAATAGAAAGAATAAAATTGAAAATCAAGCCCTCTTTCTAAATACTTATGACATTTCATCAGTCCTCAACCATAAAACATTTTATTTTCAATTTTATATACTTACACATTAAAATATGTTTAATAAACTGTTAGCCTATAACTAAATTCAGTTAAAAATAAAAAAGGAAAATAGAACTTCTCTGATAAGCTTTTTAGAATTACTTATAAATGTATGCACCCTACTTTAACACTCATTTTTACCTCAGAAATGTAATAACCTCTACTTTTCAGTTATATTTTGGAAGAATGAAGTTTTAGGGGAATTTTCAAAATTAAAATTCAATCTTTACGAGCTATTTTTAAGATACTGGACTCAGTAATAACTGGAATATTTTTTCATATTCAACAAATGTTTAAGAAGATTGTTAAAATACAATTAAAATTTCAAAATGAAATAAGCTTGGAAAAAAGTGAAATTCCTTAATCCACCATCTAATGAACTTTTAAAGATATTAACTACTGTTTCTGCTAAAATCATTTCAAACTTCAATAATTACACTTACTAAAGACACTAAGAAGTATCAAAAAAATAAAAACTCTAATGATGAATTAGCTACGCATGTTAGTCACAGATTATCCAATCCCACAGTATAATTAACTTTACTAAATAAATTTATTTGATAAATTCCTCCAGTGCAATAATTATTCTAATAACTTGGGAAAGCTTGTGTGAAAAAATAGCTATTTAACCTACTTTACCTAATATACTCTGTTTAATTTTTAATATAAAAATACTATAATTGAAACACCAAAAAATTCAATTTTATCTTTAGAGACATCTTACACATTCACCCCAAATATCATGATTATTATTAGATTATTACCAGACTGAAAAAAAGCTTAGCATTACAAGACATCTGGCAATAGCAATTAAGTCTAAACATTTTTTAAAAGTCTTTTCTCTCAAATTAAATTTGATAAAACCCCAAATACAGAAAATTCTCTACTAGCTTACCTGGGGAGGTTAGATACCTTCTCTTACATTTTGCCTGATCAAAACTTGAAACAGAATACTAAAAAAGAAAAATGGTGACATTTAATGTGTATACTAAGAATCAACTTACAGTTTCAAGATAATTCCCTATAAATTATGTACAAAGGTTAGCCTTTAATTAGACCAGTAGAAAAATCTGGTAGGCACCACCTTAACCAAGTGATAAAGTTAACATCAATAACGTGACAAAGCAACATCAAGTGTCTCCTGATGAACATCGCAAGCCACACACCAGTCATGTAACATTCTTTACAAAAATATATAACCAGTATCTAATGAGATATCATCAAACCCACAGACATTTTAATAATTGTTCTAATTCTTCAAAAACATCAATATTGCAAAAGACCAATTCTAAATTAAAGGCAACAAAAGGGGAAAAAAACAAACAAACAAATGCAATGCTCGTTTTGATTCTATCTGCACCAGGAGAAAATATTTGTATACAAAGGGCATTACTGAGATTATTGGTAAAATCTGAATATGAAATACATAATATTGTACCAATATTAAGTTTCCTGAATTTATTACTCTACTCTGCTTATACAAATGCCCTTATTTCTAGAAAAACACACTGAAGCATTTATACTTGACGATGTAGAGAGACATGATGTCTGCAAATTATCCTCAAATAGTTCAGGGGGAAAATGTCTGTATGGAAAGGGAATCAAAAAGAGGGAGAGAGCATGGTAAAGCAGATGTGGCAAAATAATAATGGTGAACACAAGAGAAGGGTAAAAGAGGATTCTAGCAACTAAAAGTTTGAACGTATTTCAAAATAAGCCTTTTAAAGGAGTTAAATTGTTTTATAACTCCATTCAAGTCACTATAAATAAAAGTTCAAAAACACTTTCAACAATGACTTACCACGATTTGTAAAGCCTAAACCTTCAGAAGCGTATGGTGAAGGCACTTCCCCGCTTTTCCCGAGTGTGTGACTGTCCGCTGCCCACCGTTTACCCACCCGCGGTCCGGAACCTCGCCCCGCGGCTACCATCCCTCCGCCCGCTTTCCCCGAGCGGCCGGGGCGGAGGCAGCGAGGGCCTTACCTCCGCCGGGCGGCAGCCCCCCAGCCCGTAGCGGCTTTTGAGACGCTCCACGGCCAAGTCCTGGCCCGGCGGCTTGACGACCCTCGGCTGCATCGTGCGGGGCCGCGGTATCCGCGGGAGCAGCGTTCAAACCCGCGGCCAGACGCGCAGGGGCGGAGCTCGCGTAGCGGAAGTGCGTCATGACGCACGAAACGGCCCCTCCAGGGAGGCGAGGGTCCCTGTCACACTGTTAAAAATGTCTTAGCATTACTTCATTAGTGTGTTATTTGGACTGATAAATGGCGTTTAATCTTTTCAGTCTTTTGCTACTTGGTTTTCTCCCGTCACGCCTACCGAGGTCCACTTAGCAGGCGTGGCCCTCCCTCTGCTCAGCCTCCGGGCTACAGCGCCGGGGGAAGCCCGCCCGGTAACCGCTGCGTCTCTGTGCAGGTGTTGTGCGTGCAGCTTCTGTCCAGACCTGGGCTCACCAGAATGGCCCAAACCTACCCAAACGGGTAGGACCGCATCTTGGTCTGGGCAGAGCTAACGTATTTGTGTGCGTTTGGACATAATCGGGGTGGCCTTACTATGTTAAATGAGGGGGTAAGCCAAGAATAAATCATACTACAAAGTATAGCTATTTCCAGAGTTACGTCTTCACTTTCCTACTATGGGCCAATATTTCCTATTCAAAGTAACATGGTATATTAATAAACAGTATTAGAATGTAAGTTACATGAGAGCACGCTTTAAAAAAAAAAAATTCCCCTGATGTCGAACGGTGCCTGTCACTTAGTATCAATATTTATTGGTAAAGTATATCAACCTAAATCCGAGACTAATGGAATTGAATAACCATTTAATTTCCTATATAAATATATTAGTATAATCCTTTACTTTTCTAAAATGTATTCAGCAGCATGTCTAAACTAATAATTCCTAGAGTTTCTGTATTATCTTTAAATTTCCTCAAATACCAAACATTTTATAAAATGAATATTTTAATAAAGAAGTTGCCTGATAATTACTTAAACCAATAATCACTTGGTATACAATATAACTATAGTATAAAAATTAGTTCCTTGCCGAAGCCGGTTTTGCTCAGTGGATAGAGCGTCAGCTTGGGGACTGAAGGGTGCCGGGTTCGATTCCGGTCAAGGGCATGTACATTGGTTGCAGGCACATCCCAGGTAGGGGGTGTGCAAGAGGCAACTGATAGATGTTTATCGGTTTATCGATATTTATCTCTTCCTCTCTGTAAAAAAAAAAAAAAAAAAAAAATTTAAATGAGTTCCTTTATATTCTATCTTTAAACAGAATTTAATGAGCCAATATAAAATCAAACCAGTTTAAAAAATACATAGCATGGGTTTATATCACATTAGAAAAAACAAAAATCATAGGCAAAGTCATTTGCCTCAAGCCACTTTTAAGCATCTTTGGAATACTATTAGAAAAGTCCATTTACTGGCCATTTTTATCAAACTTTTGGTAAAAATACTAAGTTTTTAAAGCTTAATTCAAAATCCAAATGCTTTAAGATACCACTGATTTCTAAATAAAATTTAAAAAAAATCTCTGTACTGCACTTGCCTTTACTTGAATATTATTCTAAAATCACATCACAGGCATCAGCTCTCCCAGCTGAAAAATTCACAACCTTATAGAAATTTATACTACACTAGAGGCCTGGTGCACAAAACTCATGCAGGGGGTGGGGGATAACCCTCAGCCCAGCCTGCACCCTCTCCAATCCAGGACTGCTGGGTCCCAATCACTTGCCTGCCTGCCTGATTGCTCCCTAACCACTCTCCTGCCAGCCCGATCAACGCCTAACTGCTTTTCTGCAGGTTCAATTGCTCCTAACTACCCTCCTCTGTAACCCTATTCTCCACTAACCATCCTCCCCTGCAGGCCTGGTCACCCTCAACTGCCCTCTCCTGCTGGCCTGGTCACCCCTACCCTCCCTTCCCAGCCTGATTGCCCCTAACTGCCCTCCCCTGCTGGCCCAGTCACCCCTAACTACCCACCCCTGCCACCCCTAACTACCCACCCCTGCCACCCTTGTCACCCCCAACTGCCATCCCATTCAAACCTAATCACCCCCAACTGCCTGATTAGTCCAGGTACCCTGCAGGACTTGTCACCTTTATCTGCCCTCCCCTGCTGGTCAGCTAGTGTCCATATGGGGATGCCCATCATGTTGGAGTGATGATCAATTTGCATATTATCTCTATATTATATAGGCTAAACGTCCAAAGCCAGTTCTTACTATTAAATAAGCATACATGTAGTCCATAGTTCCCAAAGGTTCATCTAGTTCACCTGATACACTGGAGTATCAGTTACCTGGTTATAGGGCCAAGTGGATTTAGTGATGGTATTGCATTACTCATTATTCACACAAACCACACACAACATTCCTCTCCTTCTTTAACTAGTGGTTGAACAGATACTTATTACTGGACTAGAGGCCCGGTGCACATATTTGTGCACATTAAAAGAAAATGAATTATCTTGTTTCCCCAAAAATAAGACAGTGTCTTATATTTTTGCTCCCAAAGATGCACTAGGTCTTATTTTCAGGGGGTGTCATATTTTTCCATGAAGAAGAATACGGTACACATTTATTGTTAAATGAAAATAAAGGAAATTTATTACCTGTATACGGTACGGTAGTACGGTAGTTGTCAACACAAACCAAACTGTGAATCCTACAGTATCAAGAATTTACTCATTTATTCAATGACAACCATGTCATCATCTTCTGGAACATCATCATGACAATCCAATTCCTGAATTTCCTGGTGAATTTCTTGTGATTCCATTTCTTTCAGAATCAGTGGACCAAATCTCTCATGTTTAGTAATAGCATTCTGAGACAGAGCCTAGAGGGGCCTTATTTTCGGGGGATGCCTTATATTTCACTCAGAAGGAAACCTGTAAGTAGGTCTTATTTTCGGAGGATGTCTTATTTTCGGGGAAACACAGAAGAAATATTTTAATATCACTATTCACCCTTTCTCTATAAGTGTCAACCAAATTCACATCCAACAGATAGATGCAAATAGACTCTGCAATTTGCACTAGCGAGAGCTTTATGCATATAAACTTGCTTAATTAGACCTGCTTTCTGATTTAGCTAAACTTTTTTCAGCCCCATGAAGCGCCCCAAGTTCTCGTTCAGGTAGTGAACAACAAAGCAGTAAATGTCAACACGAAGCATATTATTGTAGATCACACAAGAAGAACAAACGGTGAAATATTTAACTGCAGCAGTGTTTGACTATATTCTGTGCAGTGAAAAAAACAAGTCATTTTTAAGGTCCACCATTTCTTTCTTCTTTTCAATCAGGTCAAGTTTCTAAACTTTCTAAATCTCAGTTTTCCGCTAATGAAAATAAAATAGGATTCTACTAAGACTCCTATCTACCTACTCCAGGACTTCTGGGAGGACCAAATGGGATGAGACATGTGAAAACGTTTCATAGATATTTGATTAAAGTATAAAATGTTCACCTAGTTATAATGCAAGTCATGTCCCTGGAATGAAGAAACTCCAAGGAGGCTAGTAACTAGGGAGGGAAAGCCAGACGTTGCTACATGACATCATTACCCGGCGCCCACAGCCATCGTTTCCCGGCTGGGCTATGGGCCACATTTTGCATCATGGGCTTGGGCAGCGTTGGCTGCGATTTGGTGGGCTGTCACTCTGGGTTGGTGGCAGGGCCTGTGTTCCATTTGGGGGAAGCCAAGTGTTGCTTTGTCGATGCCAGGTCCTCAGTGCTATTTCTTTGAAATGGCCAGTGCACATCACAGCAGCTCCTGCATTGAGCATCTGCCCACTGGTGGTCAGTGTGTGTAATAGCAACTGGCCAGATGGACACTTAGCCTTTTATATATAATACTGCATATAGACTAAAGGTCAGATGCACAAAATTCATGCACTCGTAGGGGCGGGGGGAACTCCTCAGCACAGCCTGTGCCCTCTCGCAGTTTGGGAGCCCTCAGGGGATGTCAGACTGACAGGTCCTCTGTTGAGCATCTGCCCCTTGGTGGTCAGGGCACGACATAGCGACCAGTCATTCTGCCATTTGGTCAATTTGCATATTAGCCTTTTATTATATAGGATAGCCTATTTCCAAATTCCTAAACAACAGAATAAACACTGTCTTTTACTAAGTGCAATAATTTCACTGGGAAGAACACAGGAGGGCGGAAGGAAGTCACTGTTAGTGATTAGAATGATTGGAAAATACCAAATCTAGTGCTCTGAGATACTTTGTAGTTCTATATTGAGTAGGCTTATAAGAATATCCCCTTTTTTAGCAGTCTAACTTTTGAAACAAGTCATTTTCCAAATAAATTTTCAATGTGTACCAAACCTGAAAAAAGTCACTTCCTTGGGGGCTGTGGAAACTATGTGGCATTTTGAGTTTATAGAACTTTAATTGTCCTCCTTAATTTGGTTCCAGAATTAACAAACAATTATATGCACAATAAATTTTCTTAATGTCATAGCTGTTAACAATCGTCATTTTATTTTTGCTACAAAATTCACCAGAAAAAGTTACTGCAACAATCTAGTATAAAGCAAATCTTTAACCAAAAACATGGAATAGATCTTTTTAAAATATTCACACTTTATCACAGTAACTGCAAGGAAAAATTCGAGTCCAACTAGAACAAAGCTGCAATTCTGAGGTAGTGGGAATAGATGACAGAAAGGTAAAAAAATCTGCGGACACACTCAACTTGTTTTAAATGTAAAAATAAATGTAATGCCTTTGAAAGGGCACAGGAAGCTGCATATAATTTTTAAAAAAGAAGGTATCTACTTAGAAGTTCATTAACTATCCAAGAGGTGCAAAGATTATCGAAGAGCACTTTGGTTAAATCTCTAACCTATGGGCTCTGCCCATTCATAAGTCTCTATGCATAAATGAGCACAACAACAGTTAAAATTACCAAATATATTTTCAAATCTAAAATAAAAATTACCCCCGTTTTGGTCCCTTTATTCAAACAGTAAATATATTCAAGCAGGAAGTTCAATATCCTAAAAGAAATTATAATTAAGTTGCTTATATAATATTCCTTCAATGCGGTCTATTGCTTTTAATAAGATTAGTATTATTCCATTTTTAATACAAATATGTCAGGAGTACATAAACACAAGTACACCTGAAATAAACCAGTGTTTAAACTTTTATTTCACACCATGCAAGGTCAATTGTAACACATTAAAAAGTGACAACAGCTATAAGCTGCAATTTTACATTTATACATTGGAAATGTCCATTTTCAAAAGCTGAACATAATTACTATATTGTCTTAATAGCTAACATCAAATCAATTGTTTATACTATATTTTGATTTGTTTGATACTATAAAAAAACAATGATTTTATATCTGTCCACATTCTTTGATACTAATTCTTCGACTAACAGATCCTTTAGGAGAACCAAATGACTCAATCTTTTTCACAGTATCCATGCCATCCTTAACAAACCCAAATACTACATGCTTAAAGTCCAAATGCTCTGCTTTTTTCAATGTTATAAAAAATTGGGAATTATTGGTATCCCGGCCTCGATTAGCCATTGATAGGAAGCCAGGACCAGTATGTTTCACATTAAAATTTTCATCTTCAAATTTATCTCCATAAATGGACCGTCCTCCTGTTCCATCATGTTTGGTGATATCTCCACCCTGGGAAAAAAAAAAAATTTATTAATAGGAATCCTGAGTAAAATATTACAATGTACACACACTAACCACTATACGTAAGTCTTAAACACCCAGCTTGCTTGAAAATGCGGTATGAAGCCGAAACTAGTTTGGCTCAGTGGTAGAGCATCGGTCTGCGGACTGAAAGATCCCAGGTTCGATTCCGGTCAAGGGTATGTACCTGAGTTGCGGGCACATCCCAGTAGGGGGTGGGCAAGAGGCAGCTGGTCGATGTTTCTCTCTAATCGACGTTTCTATCTCTCCCTTCCTCTCTGTGAAAAATCAATAAAATATATTAAAAATAAATAAATAGATAAATAAAAGTGGTATGAAAACTAAGTAATGCCCATTTTTGAACAAAGAGAAAAAGTGACAAGGTCTTTTTCCCACCCTCAATTATAGTAGGTTTAAAGTTATCAAAAATTTCCATTATTTTAGGCTGAAAAAAAATTTTTTTTTAATATATTTTGATTTTTCAGAGAGAGGAAGAAAGAGGGATAGAGAGCTAGAAATATCGATGAAAGAGAAACATCGACCAGCTGCCTCCTGCACACTCCCTCCTGGGGATTTGCCCACAACCAAGGTACATGCCCTTGACCGGAATCAAACCCAGGACCTTTCAGTCCACAGACCGACACTCTATCCACTGAGCCAAACCGGTTTCGGCTAGGCTGAAAATTTTTTGTGGTAGGATATATTGAGATGGTGACACCAATGTGTGAAAAGGCTAAAGATATCTTAAGAAAATTATAGGTGAGGAAGAACACTCAAATTTCCAATTAGTGTAGAGCACTTTTCTAGACTTCAATTGTGATACACCATCAACACTTACTTGGCAAACGAAATCTGGAATTACTCTGTGAAAAATGGAGTTCTTGAAACCAAAACCCTTCTCTCCAGTGCATAGTGCTCTGAAGTTTTCAGCAGTTTGAGGAACAATGTTTGAAAATAATTCCATGGTTATACGTCCTAGAGGTTCATCATCTGCACAAACATCAAAAAACACCACAGGATTTGTCTCCTTTGATAATTCTGCTGTCCGTGATACCTGTCCCTTCTGGAGTTTCGATAAATTCCGTTGACATTCTTCAAATTTTCTCTTAAAACAATCAGCCATTTCTTTAGTTTTAAATCTTGCTGCAAGCTGTTCCACTTTGGCTTCGCCATCTATTAAAAAGTAGAACACAGTTATCTCAATATCAAAATGTTTTAATATTGTTAGGGATTTTTATCAAAATCTAAAAAGTGAAAAGTATCATTTACCAGCATAATCCGAGGCAGTCCAAACTAAAGCATTGTTTGAAACATTTAAGGGTTTTAATTCCATTGTTTTGGTAATAACATGGTTTGCACACACTTTAAAGACTTGGTCTCTTCTCATTAGAATACGATAGTAATTCTTCAGTGTATGCCAAAGAATTTTAATATCTCCAACACCACGCTCCTTCCACTGATTAACATCTCGATCCCATCTATAAAGTTTGGCTCTTTCTTTAAATAAAATTTCCTCATCTTCTTCTCCAGATTTCACTTCTACCTATAATACATGAAAAAATAAGCTGCTGATTATAACATACTCCATAACAAACTCCTTAAAATACTGTCTTTATAATGACATTAACAAAATGTAAACTGTGCTATCAAAACAAATGGTAATATCCTAGGGCTAGGAATAGGTCTGATTTAGATGAAGCAGTGAAGACCTGATTTGTTATTAAGTCTTTTTCTCTTATGTAAGTATTCTTCCTCCTTTTAAAAATTAAACATATTCTTTTATAAGACAGAACAGGTTTCAAAAAGTTCTTCAAGAAAAATATTTAACTACTTGAGGTTGAAAACTGACAAAGTAATTTGTCTAAAACAACATTTTTGTCCAGAAAATGTAGAGTTTATTTTTACTTATAGGACTTTAGCAAGTATGAGATTAGATATTTTGCCCCCAGAATTATGTTATAATAACAAATATGAAAAAAATTAGCTCTTCACAATATTTTTATACATAATATACCAAACAATATCCTATCTAATAAAAGAGAAACATGCAAAAGGACCATACCTCTGGTACGCCCACAAGCCATGCCCATCAGCCAATCAGGAGCAAATATGCAAATTAGCTCAACAAATATGATTGTAGCCACAAAGCTGGAGCAAGTAGAAGGCTTGGGTTGCCCCCAATGATGGAGGAAGCCAAGCTTCCCAACCACCCTGGCCAGCCCTGTTTCCACTCAAGGCTACAAAGTTTCAATTATAGAAGATAAATAAATCCCAGATATCAGGGTCTCCGTGTGGCTTGCCTACAATCCACCACAGGCCCCTCGCCCAGGCCTCCTCACACTCTAAGGGTACTCCACCCTGATCGGAACCCCTCACCAGTGCACCAGGCTTCTATATAATAAGAGTAATATGCAAATTGACTGTCACTCCAATAAATAAGATGGCTGCCCCCATAAGGACACATGATAGCCACCAGAAGATGGCCAGCAGGGGAGAGTAGTTGGGAGGGACCAGGCCTGCAAGAGAGGGCAGTAGGGGATGATCAAGCCTGCAGAGGGCAGTTAGGGGTGGCCAGGCTGGCAGAGGAGGGTAGTTGAGGGCAACTGGGCCTGCAGGGGAGAGTAGTTGGCGGGGATCAGGCCTGAAGGGGAGCACAATTGGGGGTGACCAGGCCTGCAGGGGAAGGCACTTAGGGGTGACGAGGCCTGCAGGGGAGGGCAGTTAGGAGTGACCAGGCCTGCAGGGGAGGGCAATCCGACTGGCAGGGGAGCAGTTAGACATCAATAAGGATGGCAGGGGAGTGGTTAGGGGGTGATCAGGCTGTCAGGCAGAAGCAGTTAGAGGCAATCAGGAAGGCAGGCAGGCAATCAGTTGGGAGCCAGTTGTCTTGGATTGTGAGAGGGATCCCAGATTGGAGAGGATGCAAGGTGGGTTGAGGGATATGCCCTTCCCCGTGCACAAATTTTGTGAGGAGCCTATAGTTTATATATAAATTTTAACAAAAATGACAATTTATACTTAAAAGCTTAACTTCTACTAAAGAGCTTCCATTTAAAACTGTAAATATTCTGAAAGAAATGCAAACAAAGCTAGCCCTGTAAATCAAGTTTGAAACCTAAAATATCAAGTTATTAGTAAGATTTTCATACTTTAATATTTACCTCTGGTAATGACACTATTGGTTCAAAGTGGATATCTTCATTATAAACTACTTCTTCATCACTGCCATCTTCTTCTTCCCCAACTTTATTGGTTGACTGAGTTCCAAACACAGTTGCTCCAGTATTTGCCCACTGGAAATTTTTATCTGATGAATAAATCAGGATAAGTAATTAGTGATATCTATTTATATAAGCTTTTAATCCTCTGGTTAAATGATTTAACCAATACATCAAATTAAGATGCCATGCCAAATGCTTATAGTTAAAAAAAAATACCCCCATTTTTATATTATTTAAAACTATATTATTCTGCCAAGGCCAACTCATGTAGTGAGTTCAGTACTATTTATGCTTGCAGATATAAGGATAAGATCATTTGACCATTTGGTAAACTCATGATATTAATAATATAAGTATACTTTCAGTAACAAAGCAGGTTCTTAAAAAAAAGAACATAATTTGGAATTCTCAAAACTCAGCTCCATAAGTAGTTTATTTCATAAAACATTTTATCACATGAGAAAAATAATTTTGAACCTAAAATGTCCTAAAGAGGCCAAATGTGCTACTTCAAAATTAATCAAAGAAGTCTAAACATGTTTATAACTTCTATATTTCACAACTTCCTACTGAAGTAACTAGTGTTGGAGCTTAGATTTCTTTAGGCCTTGGGAAAAGCTCACTGACTCCAACTGTCCTCAAAGGATTAGACTGTGAGGGGTGAAAAGAATTCCCATTCCCATGCAGAAGAACAGATTATTTCTCTCCCTCATACCTTGCAGGTGAAAACTAAATGAGATGACCCAGCCTGTTAACACCTCACTACCTCAGAGGAAAGAAATCCCTCTTAATTTGTCATCACTTGGTGAATCAGTGACTTAAGAGAACCCTATATTTCTACTAAAAATTCATAAAGTAGGAAAAAATGTATCAGATCACTTAAAAAGTTGGCGAAATGAAGAACTAATTAACTAAAAGTAACTCCTTCTAAGCCAGATTTAATAGGGGGGTAGGGGAAGAAATACACACAAAAAATCTTAAGATATTGCCAAAAAATGCTATAAAATAAGAAAAACACAAAATGAAGTTTATGGGGGCTTCCTGTAAATAGTGATCATGGATTAGATGATATTCAGGTTTGGGGCTCAATAATAATTAATTTAGAATCTCCCAAAGAAACTTTTTAAATTATCCCAAATACCTTTGGAAGGTGTGGCAGAAGTTTTTAAAACTCCTCTAAAGCAGTGGTTCTTAACACTGGGTGAATATTACAACTACACCAAGATCTTTTGTAAAATAGCAATGCCTGAGGTACCATTACCAAGAAGCCCAATATACCTATCAGGTAGTTGGTGTGTGTGTATGTTTTTTTTAAATCACCCAGGAGCCGAAACCGGTTGGCTTAGTGGATAGAGCATCGGCCTGCGGACTGAAAGGACCCGGGTTCGATTCCGGTCAAGGGCATGTAGCTTGGTTGCGGGCACATCCCCAGTAGGAGGTGTGCAGGAGGCAGCTGGTCGATGATTCTCTCTCATCCATGTTTCTAACTCTCTATCCCTTTCCTCTCCTCTCTGTAAAAAAATCAATAAAATATATTTTATAAATAAATAAATAAATAAATAAATAAATAAATAAATAAAATCACCCAGGAAATTCTATTAGGAAGCCAACAGCTGAAAACCACTATTTCTCTTGGGATCAGAAGGAATAATCCAAACAGTAAAATATAAAAATAAACATGTCAACAATCAATATCAATATCACAGTAACAGTACCAAGGAGACTTCCACTATGTGTTGAAGTTTAATGAAAATACAAAATCTAAAGAAAATATGATAAAGTGACAATCATTGGCAAAGGCAGACCTAAATAGGTTTTCCTTATTTTTCTCTTAGTTCCCATATGAAATACTATTCTTGAAAGCAGACATACAAATGGCCAAGAGCCATGTGAAAAAATGCTCAAAGTTATTATCAGAGAAATACAAATTAAAACAACAATGAGGTATTATCATCTCACACCTGTCAGAATGGCTACCATCAACAAATCAACAAATGACCAATGCTGACGAGGATATGAAGAAAAGGGGACCCTCGACAAATCAACAAATGACAAGTACTAATGAGGAGAAAAGGAAACCCTCATATGGTACTGGTGGGAATGCAGACTGATACAGCCATATGGAGTTTAAAAAATTAAAATCACTGCCCTTTGACCCAGTGATCCCACTTCTATAAATAGATACTAAGAAATCTGAAACACCAATCAGACAGAATGTATGCATCCTTATGTTCATAGCAGCACAATTTGCAATAGCTAAAATCTGGAAACAGCTCAAGTGCCCATTAGTAGGTAAGTGGATAAAAAAAGTTGTGATACACAACTTTCATACCATGGAATACTACACAGCCATAAAAAAGAGGGATCTCTTACCCTCTGCGACTGCATGGAGGGACCTGGAGAGTATTATGCTAAGTGAAATAAGTCAATCAGAGAAAGACAAGTATCACATGATCTCAGTCATACATGGAATCTAATGAACAAAACAGATCCATAGACATGCGGAATTTCAGAGGGAAGGCAGGGGAGGGTAGGTGAGTGGGAAGTGATCAACCAAAGAACTTGGATGCATATATGCATAATCCATGGACACAGACAATAGGATGGTAAAGGCCTGGGCATGGGTTGGGGCTAGTAGAGGTGTCAATGGGAGAAAAAAGGGAATATATGTAATACTTTCAACAATAAATATTTTTAAAATAAAGAACAGTAAAATATACAAGCCTTTCCTTATATTAAAAATTCTAATGAACTAAAGAATAGGAAAGGGGAAGAAATATCCAAATTAGTTATAACACTGTGCAAAGGACTAGTTCTTTCAGTTGTGTTTAAATTCTGTAACTTGATCATTAAAATCCCATTATCTGATCTTACCTTTGGAACCAAAAGCAAAATCCCCAGAATTACTGGAAGCCAAGTCTGCAAATGACAATCCTGTGTTGCTTCCAAATCCAAATGAAATAGTTTTGTTTTCGACTGGCAAAAGAAAAAAGAGCATTTAATATTTAATTAAAAAAAAAAAAAAATTAAACATCAAAGGACCCAAAGAAGGTGGTAGAACCTTCTTTAGTACTCAGGGGCTTGGGTTAGTTATGAAGCATTTATCTTATGGTTATTTCTCTGAAAAAAATTACAAGACTCAACCAATTCTGAGCTTCTTCAGTATTTCTAAAGGTACAGGTATTATTTTCAATACCACTATACCAAAAGCATGCCAAATATAATTTTAATATGTTTTTATTAATTTTAGAGAGAGAGGGGAAGGGCAAGGGAGAAAGAGAGAGAAACACTGATCAGCTGCTTCCTGCAGGTCCTCCACTGGGCATCGAGCTGTTGACCTCTTGGTGCACTGGATGATGCTACACCAGCCAGGGCCCAAATATAACTTTTTTTAATGAGATGTTGATCTATACAAGTAGAAGTATACAGTTTTTGCTTTCTACTGTCCTATATAATCTAAAACATTCATTCAAAGGCAAGATTTTAGGAAATATCTTCATAAGGAATTTCTGTGTTCTCTATTATAAATAACAAGATCATAAAACCTGACTTTTAAAAAATATTTGGTCATCAGGAATTTTGGGGTCTTGTCTTAATTCTGTCAAAGTGCAGCTGCAGGTTCTCTTGAAGTCCTATGCACCTTACTTTCCACTTCTAAAAGTGGGATATTAGGTCTGAAGTTACCATCCTGTTGTACTATATTAAGACTCCAAAGTGCCATATTTGTGCTTTATTCAAGTCTACTTTGAAAAAATTAGGGTGCCCTAGCAAGTTTGGCTTAGTGGATACAGCATCAGCTTGTAGACCAAAGGATCCTAGGTTTGATTCCGGTCAAGGAGGCATTACTTGGTTGCAGGCGCCTCCCCAGCCTGGGCCCTGATTGAGGCATGTGCCTGAGGCAATCAACTGTTTTGTTTCTTTCACATCAATATTTTTCTCTGTCTTTCCCTCTCTCTTGCACTCTCTCTTAAAAAATTAATGGAAAAATATTCTCGGAGATAGTTGAAAATAAATTAAATCAAAAAATTTTAAGAAGAAAAAATTAAGTAACGAGAATGCACACATATAAAGCAATACAATGTTAAAAGATTTCCCCCCTTCTAATGTCAACTGGAATGAAAAACAGGGAAAAGCATATTAAATATTAATTACTATAAACAAATACTTAAAGTAGGCAGAGAAAAGGAAGACATTTAAGTACAGTTGACTCTTGAACAATTTGTGAAATTAAGGGCATCAACATCCCAATAGTCAAAAATCCACATATAACAACGGACTCCCGAAAAACTTAACTACTAATTGTCTACTGTTGCCCCAACGTTGATGAACACATATTGTATGTTGTATGTATTATATACTGTATTCTTACAATAAAATAAGCTAGAAAAAAGATGTTATTAAGAAAATTATAAGGAAAATACATTTACAGTATTAAAAAAAAACAAACACATGTAAGTGGACCCATGCAGTTCAAGCACATGTTGTTCTTGGGTCAACTGTAGTAGCATAAATATTTAACACCCCTACTATAATACTTATATAATTACTTCATATGTAATTAACACAATTTTAATAAACTTGAGTGAAAATATAATTAAGCAATATAGCAGCTCCCCCATATATGTAAATTTTCCATGATTTCAGTTACCAATGGTCTACCATGGTCCAAAAATATTAAATGAAAAATTTCAGAAATAAACAATTCAAATTTTAAATTGTGTGCTGTTCTGAATAGTGTGATATAACCTCACACCATCCCATTCCATCTCACATGCTATGTAGCCAGGCTACATAAAGTGCCCATCTATCACTCAGGAGCTATCTTGGTTATCAGAGATAGGGAAAGAGAGATCACATTAACTTTTATTACAATATACTGTTATAATTGTTTTATTTTACCATTAGTTATTGTTTTAAACTCTTTCTATAACTAATTTAAACTCTTTCTATAACTAATTTATAAATTGAATTTTATTATAAGTCAATGATAGTCCGCATCATCCATGAATTCAACCAACTATGTTGTTGCCTACTATGATTCCCTCTGATTGAACATGTATACTTTCTCCCTTGCATTATCCCCTAAATCAGAGGTGTGGAAAGTCAGCCCATGAAATAATTTGGTCTGGCCTGCTAAGGCATTAGGGATGAGTTAATTAAATATTTAACCAAATATAGCAGGCTAATTTTAAGATAATTTTTTATGGCTCTAGAATGATGTTATAAATATCCAAATGGCTCTAATCAGAATAAAAGTTCCCCACCCCTGCTAAACAATACAGCAACAACTATTTACAAACTATGTACACTGTATTAGGTATTATGAGTAATCTAGAGATTTAAAGTATTCAAGAGGACATGTGTAGTTTGTATAAAAACATTACATTTTACATAGGGAAACTGATCATCCATAGATTTTGATATCTGTAGGGAACAGCAGGGGATTCTGGAACCATTCCCCACCAGATACCCAGAGACGACTATATTTGTAGGGGGGGAGAGGAAAAAGTATATGGGGTTCAATGCTATTTGCAGTTTCAGGCATCCACTGGTGTCTTGAAATATATCCCTAGTGAATAAGGGGGAACTACAAAATAAAAATACTATCACAAAGATAATTTCCATGTAAGCAAACTACTGTCATTTATTCTCAGGTAGTGTCATTTATTCTGAACTCTAACAAAAAATAAAAAAGACAGTAATTTCTAATTATTACAAGTATCTTATGCCCATTTATATATTACAAAATTTGTTTTAAGAAAGAGAGTTTCTAGGATCGATATCTTTTCAAACATACTGATATATATTACATAATGTATGCCTAGGTTTTTGTAAACATATATCAAATTTTACCTTGGCTTGTAGCATCTGCATCATTTTCCTTTCTAGTAGACAAATCTACAGGTTTATCCACAGTTCCAGAAAAAATAGATGATGAGCAAATAGATTTGGTTATAAAATCAGGTTTTTCAGATTTGCATAAAAATGGTGCAGTCACTTTAGTTCCATCTGTACACACACTGTCAGCTGTGCTAGTTGTTACTTCCTCGTGGGATTTCTGCAAAGAAGTAATAAGAAACTGACAAAAAGGATCTTATACCCTATTTTTTTTAAAAACCAAGGACATTGGGGGGTTCTAAACAAAATGGAGTAGCACACTTCAACTTATCTCTCCCATTCCACACTTCATCCTATTTCCTCCAATACCTAACACCACACTAAATTTAAACAGATAAAAGTACTTAGAAGAAGCCTGTGAAAGATGAATGAAAACAGGAGGATTAAGAATCTAAACCTTGAAGCATAATCTGGTTGTAAGAACCTTGTGAGGGTTTTTCACCCCTCCCTCCAAAACAGTCCATAAAACTAGAGCTGTCACCCTAGGCAGTGGCTCAGTTGATTAGAGCATTGTCTCATAACCAAAAGATTGCAAGTTCGATTCCCAGTCAGGCCACATAACTAGGGGTTCAATCCCTGGTGGGGATGAATGTAGGAGGCAACGAATTGATTTTTTTTTTCTTCCTCTTTCATCCTTCCTCTCTATCTAAAATCAATAAAAACATATTGTTGGGTGAAGATTTAAAAAAAAAAACAAAAAAACTGGAGCTCTCCATTGCATCGATGGAAAATGTCCTGAAAAGTTCTAGCTGGTTTGGCTCAGTGGATAGAGCATCATCATGGGTACTGAAGGGTGCCAGGTTCAATTCCAGTTAGGGACACATGCCCAGGTTTCGGGCACCATCCCAAATAGGAGGGATGCAGAAGGAAGCCTATCAAAGATTCTCATCATTGATGTTTCTCTCTCTCTTCCTTCCTCTCTGAAATCAATTAAATTATTAAAATAAAAAGAGAAAAGAAAAAGTCCTAAGAAAAGCCAACACTCTGGCCAGGGAGTAAGAGATGTCATGAAATGATTCATGTGTTGAATGATCCATGTTTGAATGACTTTTAAAGAAGTTATTATAACAAAGCTTCAAGAGGTAAGGACAAATACTCTTAAAACAAATGGAAAAATAGAAGTTCTCAACAAAGAAATAGAAAGCATGAAAAAATAATCAGATGGGAATTTTATAATTTTTAAGAGTCTAAAGGAAAAATACAGTAACAGAAATTTAAAATTTTATAGGACAATATATAGAGGGTGGGCAATATATAGAGGGAATTCTTCTTTGAGTTTTTCCTAAGGAAAAAGACTGGTTATGATTAATACAATAGACGTATTAACTCAAAAGACTGTCACAATGGCACAGTGCAATCTCGTTAAGTGCTCAAATTGTCAGCCCTCATTATTTACACATTTTTGTAGTTTGCCCTGGTCCAATTTGCTCAGTAGTTAAAAGCATTGGCCCCTCAAACCAAAGGGTCGAAGGTTTGATTCCCCGTACCTTGATTGTGGGCTCGATCCCCAGGGTGATCAGGATGGGTGCGGGAGGAAACAGATCAACGTGTCTCTCCCACATCAATTTCTCTCTCTCCCTCCCTCCCTTCCTTCTTCCCTCCCTTTTTCTCTCTCTCTCTTTCTCTCTCCATCCCTCTCCTCCACACTCCCTTTAAAAAAAAAAAAAAATGGGAAAAATATCTTCAGGTAAGGATAAAAAAAAAGAAGAAATTGAAAATAACCTCCAATGGATTGAACATACTGTGATACATCCACCTAATGGAATGCTACATAGTTATAATAATCATCTATTACTATAACACAATAACTTGGACAAATCTCAAGGTCATTATGCCAAGTAGAAAAAAGTGGTATCAAAGATAACACCATATGATTTTATATGTTCATCTGGAAAAGGGAAAAATACAGAAACAGAAAACAGATGAGTAACTGCCAGAGGTTATGGGTGGGGGAGGATTTTCTCTATATCTTGTCTGTGGTGGGAATTACAGAGTCAAGCATGTATAAGAACCCATAGAAAACACACATACATATACAAAAGTGAATTTTATTTAAGTATTAATATATAAAGATATCAGTGCAAATGAAAAAGGTTGTTAATATACTGAAACACCAAGGAAAAAATAATTCATTCTATTTGTGTCAAATGCTAGAGTATCACAGCAATCCTATCTAATAAGGAGGGAATATGTTAATTGACTGTCACACCATCACAATTATGGTGTCACCCAGTCAATTAGAAGGGAATATTCTAATTGACTGCCACGCCCTCAAAGATGGCAGCCACAAGATGGCGCCACTGGGCAGCAGGCACGTGGCACAGCCAGGCCCACTCCCAGGCAGGCCCGGCCTCTCCACACTCCTGCCTCCGGAGTCCCCCAGTCCCCTCATCCCCCCAGCCGCCCAGGGCCGGCCCAAGACATAGGCAAGCCTGGAGTGGTGGCTGCCTGGACACCCAATGACTGAACAAGCAGGCTGCGTTGGGCAACCAGACTGGCAGGCAGGTGAGTGATTAGGAGCCAGCAGACCAGGACTGTGAGAGGGATGTCCAACTGCCAGTCTAGACCAGCAGTCACACATCCCCTGAGGGGTCCCGGATGGAGAGGGTGCAGGCTAGGCTGAGGGGACCACTACTCTCCCACCCCCGTGCTCAAAATTTAATATGCTGGCCCTCTAGTATTATTTGTAACTAGTAGCCCTGCGCACGAATCGTGCGCCAGTAGTTCTCCGAGGGGCCTGCCCACCCTGTGCCCACTGCCCAGAGGCCCTCCATGGCCCAGAGGCCCATCCACAGGCAGGCACAGAATGCTTGCCTCATCGCTGGGGCGATAACGAAGCAAGCATTCTGCCAGGCCACTCATGCTGCCCACATTCAGTGCACCCCTCCCCCCCAGGGACTGGGGTGCTCCAGTGGGGATGAGAAGACTGGGCACCGCCATCTTGTGGGTATGGGCACCACTGTCTTTTGTGACAGAGTGGTGGTTAATTTGCATATTGTACTTTTATTAGATAGGATAGCCAAAAAGTAGAAACATATCAGATGGCCACAACATATGAACAGATAACTAAAATGTGGTATTTTCCATATAATGGATATCATTCAACCATAGAAAAAAAAATGAAATATATTGAATGTGAATACCCCTAGAGAAAAATAAATAAAAAAAGCCATACACAAATGACAACATATTATGACCTATTCATATGGAATCTCCAGCCTAAACAAATCTAGTGACATAAAGTACAACTGTAGTTAAATAGAACTACAGGAGTTGAGTGGAAATAAGGAAGGGCAATGACTACCAGAGGCTACAAGATTTCTTTTTGTGATGATGAAAATGTCTAAAATTATTTTGGTTATGTCTGCAACACTATGCGAATGTGCTAAGAATCACTGAATTGTACACTTCAAAACTGTATCTGAATTGTATCACAATAAACATAGATGAGAGTATTTGGGGGAGATGTGTGTTTTAATTCAGCTTCTCACATACTCCCTGAATGAAAAACTGATGTTTGAACAAATTTTTTTGTTCAAAACTGTATCCCCAGTCCTCAGAAGAGTGTTAGTTCATAGTAAACTCTTATAAATACTGTACACATAAGCATTTTATTCGAGGATGCATATCTGCAGACCTTTCATAATCCAATATAATTTATGCTAAGTGTGAAGTAGGAATAATATATTCTAAAAGGATGGAAATCTATATCCATTATAATATGTTTTGTTTTTAATCATTTTTAGTTCTCTCTTTCATTTGTGTGTCAAAAGGTCCTTTCCTGCAAAATTATAATTTATTATAGCACTATTTTCAATCTTTACAGTAACTAATTACATTTAATATCTGTAATAAAGGTATTTTGGGAGAGCCTCTAGTTGCTACTTAATGAACATTATGATGTTACAAAGTATTTTATAAGATTTTAAGTTATAAAACATTTTGAAATAATACAATAATCACCTGAAATAAAATATTTGTACAGCTATAGACAGCATGGCTCACAAAAAACTGACAAAAGATACCAAATCCTTGTGTAACAAGCTTTGGCACCACAGGGTGGGAAAAGAACAAATAATGTACAATTCAGTCTGCACATCAACATTTAAAATTATTTTCCAGTTTTATTTTTTAAGTTTTGCACAACAGAATGATGCACATTTAAGTTGCATTGTTTTGCCCTAGCTGGTGTGGCTCACTTGGTTGGAGCACTGTCCCATACACCAAAGGGTGGCGGGTTTCATCCCCAGTTGGGGCACATATAGGAGACAGCCAATTCATCAATCCATCTCTCTCACATTGATGGTTCTTTCTTTCTGTCTCTCTCTTGTTCTTTTTCTCCCTCTCCTTTCATCCTCTCTTTAAAAATCAATAAATTGTTTTAATTTGCAAAATCCAAATTTGTGTTAATACTGTATTTGCTGAATAGCTGCATGATAAAGCCTCTAACAGCCAGCAATTAGAGAAGTTAAAGAAATTACAAATTTTATATTTCCAGGGAATTCAGGGGAAACTGATGATGATTTTAAAACTCTCTAGATTTAGCCAAGATTTGCTCAATGGTTAGAGAGCCGATCCTCAAACTGAAGGGTTGTGGGTTGATTCCCATCAAGGGCACATACCTTAATTGCAAGCTTGATCCCCAGGGCCAGTTGGGATACGTGTGGGAGGCAATCAATCAATGTATCTCTCTCACTTCGATGTTTCTCTATCCATCTCCCCCCCTCCCTTTCACTCTCTCTAAAATTCAATGGAAAAAATATCATCTGGTGAGGATCAACCAACCAGCCAACCAACCAACCAATAAGTTAAATGAGTAAGTAAATAAATCTGTAGATTTATTTAGCATAGAGGCTACTGATGTAAAAACTACCACAAATAAATCTATTAGTCATAAATGAGAAATGAATGTCATTATATTAGCTGGTGGTCATAGTACTGATAAATTAAAACCTACTGAATAGCTGGCACATCCTAAGTGGACAACTGGGAAAAGTGGCCAGCTAGACTCCTCAGTCATAGACTATAAAGGACAGTAAATTTCTTAAAGACACAGACCATGTATTGGACCACATCTCTCTGTAGCTTCAGATCCTTTAATTGAACCATTGCATTCATAACTAATTGCAGGACTTTATTTCACTTTACCTTTTCAACAATAAAATAGTATTACCTGAGGAGACAAGGAATCATGCTAAATACATATCAGTATTAGATTGTAAAAAACTACTAGACAGAAATCTTATCTTCTAATTTCTGTGAAATATAAATTAAAACACCAAGGTGTTAATATTATGTTTCCCCAAAAACAAGACATAGCGCATGGAAAGATAAGACATCCTCTGAAAATAAGACCTAGCGCAACTTTGGGAGAAAAAATTAATATAAGACACTGTCTTATTTTCAGAGAAACAGGGTAGTTATTCAAATTATCACTACATTTGAGCTAAGAAAGTAATCAAATCATAAAATTATTGACAAAGCAGGGTACAAAATAAGCCAAGGGAAGTAGGTGTCAAATGCTGTTATTTCCTATCTACTCTGGCCACAATAGAATAAACTAACTTACATGAAAAATGAACCACTCAATACTGTTGTTGGTATTGGGTAGGCATTCTTAGAAATATTTGCATAGTCTATGCTATCCCATTCTCAAAACCCAACATACACAAAGGGATAAACTTTTTTGTTTGCCTATAAAAAGTCCTCCTTCCCAAACATAGCTGACCAATAAATGCCTAATATATTTGCTAACCAAAACGCATTACTATAATTTGGTAAAAACATTCTAGTTTATTGCATCAACAAAGCCAATTGGACCAGAAAAAAAAAACACACAATAAAAGTGTTCTTACTTGGGCTTCCTGAACTTTTTGAAGCTCTGATTGAAAGTCTTCTCCATTTCCATTGTCCTCATCAGTATCACTGCTGACTCCACAAAAAAATGTAGGTGGAAGTTTTAACGTATCTGCTTTTGCCTTCTCTTCAACTGTTGGTTTCTTTTCCCAAACAATAATGCATTCTTTCTCATTTTCTGAAAAATCCCATATGACACACACAAAAGAAAGTTAAAGATAAAAGTAGATGAAGTGCAACTCTTTTACAACAATGGTCCTCAAAATTTACACATTACAGACCCAGGTAACAATACCTAAGTACTAATGGAAAACAAGAACTACCAGAACAGTATTTTTCACTTCATATTGTTTTAAAATATCTTAAATAACCACAGGCATAATAAAGTTGATAATTACAAAAATAATAAAATTGGGAGGCTCCTTTGAAATAAAAGTTTTAAAAAAAAACAATTAGTAATTTTAACTTTACATACCTGTTAGACTTTTTTCTAATGGTTTATATTTTTCTGAGTCATCCAGATACAGTTTTCCATTAAGTTTCTTGACAGCTGTTTCAAAATCTTCATCTTAAAGTATAATTTATTTTATTAAATAAAAGAATTTATAGTGTTTTCCTAGCCAGAAATCTAGAACTTATCTCCAACTTCAGAATTTTCCTTACTCCCCACAACCAAATAGCAATCAATTTGATAATTCTATATCCCTAATGCACCTTCTGTTATAAATCTCACTGAAAGCTCGCCTCTTTGAGCTGCTCTATTATCATTTTAGCTCATGTGCCTATCTCCATGTCCCACAACCCAATCTTTTATACCATTATCCAAGTGGTTCTACTGAAACTTTTCCGAAGTTCCCTGCTTTAAAAAACTCTGATATGGCACACAAAGTTTTCCATAATCAAACCAGTCTGCCTCTAAGATTCTAAGGAAATTATGATTGTTTTCAAATGCCTCAAAATGCCTGCCCTGCTCATGGTAGCCATCCAAAAAAATTTTACTTAATAAATGAATGCAGTTATTTCCATCATTACATCCACTGGCTATTTACACATACATTTAGGATAAACATCTATCTATCTGCAAGGACACCACTACTGAGAGTTGTAAGAACAGACTTAATATAATTTAACCACACTTCCCAATTCCTAAGATTAGCATATTTCAGAAATAACAAAAGATTTACCATCCTCTTCTTCTTCGCTAACATAATCTGGTCTATTCTTATAGCAGAAGAAAGTTGGAGGAAGTTTAAGTTTGCTTGCAAGAGCTTTGTGCTCCGGAGTTGGGGTTAGCTCATATACAATGAGAACATCCTCATCTGAGGAAGGGTCTTCAGGTTTTACCTTCTCTTTTGCTACAACAGAAGTAAAAAATAAATTGATAAAGCCAAGGTGTTAAATCAGTATTAACATCAATATTCTAACTGAATATAAAAGCCATGGAACTTATCTGTAGGTTAAAATAGCATACTATTATAGTAAAAGCACATATACTTTGATGTGGACAGAACTCTAAATAAAATAATAATTATAATTGGTAGTAGACAAGAATATAGAATTTAATGTTCTATCAAAACCCTTAGTGAACACAAAACCTATTTAAAAAACAAAAAATTCACCTTGGCCAGTGTGGCTCAATTGGTTGGTGCATTGTCCCATGGTTTCAATTCCGTCAGAGAATATACCCAAGTATCAGGTTTAATCCCCCATTGGGATACAAACAGGAGGCAACCAATTGATGTTTCTCTCTCCCTCACCCTTTCTCTCTCTCTCTAAAATCTATAAAAACATATCCTCAGGTTAGGATTAAAAAAATAAAATCCTGCTTTTACTTACTGATCATTGAAAAAAAGTTACTATTAATGGCTATAATGTAAAAAGTGTTGCCATAACCATATTTGACATACTAGACAATAATTGGGCAAAATACGCATGCATTTTCAACAACTGAAAAAAATTAAAGCAATCACAAGTAAAAACTAAGTGTAAATATAAAGTTCCCACAAGAAAAGTTAACAATTGCCAAGATGGCAGGTGATTAGAGTTACATCCAGTTTTGAATGTTTTCAAACATTGTAATAGATAAAATTAAATAAAAACTGTAATCCTGTATGTTAGTAATACTAATACTGTAAAAATTTAATATAATTATTATAACTGAAAAACCTTCAAGGACAACAAAACGGGCAAAAATTAAAAAATGGAGAGAAAAGGAATTCTTCATACAACCTTCTCTGGTTTATAAAAAAGAATTTCTGGCCCTGGCCAGTGTTGCTCAGTACTTGGAGCGTCAGCCTGTGGACCAAAGGGACACAGGTTTGATTCCCAATCAAGGGTATATACTTGGGTTGCAGGTTCCATCCTCCACCCGGGGCATGTTTGTCTCTCTCCTTCTCTTTCTCTCTCTTTCTCCCTTTCCTCCATCCCTCCCTCCTTTCCGCTCTAAAAGTCAATGGAAAAAATGTCCTAGGGTGAGTATTAACAAAAACCAAAAGATAAATAAATAATAAGAATTTCTGGGTAAAGGACCTGATAAATAGTAAACAACTTATGAAGCATGTTCTATACCAACTGGTACTGTCCAATATGGCAGCCTTGCCAGTGTGGCCATTAAGCAATTAAAATGTGACCAAACTAAGATGTGCTACAATTTCAAAATACACATCTAAGTTTAAAATATAGACTTGGCAACAACAACAAAAAGAACATAATATACCTCATTTTGTTATATTGATTAGAATTCTAAATATTACTTTGGATATAATGGGTTAAACTGAATAATTATTAAAATTAATTTCATCTTTTTTTCACCTGTTTCTTTTTATTTTTAATATAGCTACTGAAAATTTTTATATTACACACATAGGCCATATTTATTTCTATGGGATAGCACTAATCTGGAGAACTAGAGCTCTTTTACAACATTAAACCTGTCTTTCGCTCTCCTTCATTACAAAAATAGTGTCAATTCCTGCCAGGGACAGTTCAAAACACCATAAAAATAGATTCTTGTTCCAGTTCTATTGTGAGCTAGTAAAGACAACTTGGGCATAATAAAAAGCCAGCTGGGCCCTAATTTCCTCATGTCTAGAATCTTTGTCTCTAAGATCCTTTGGGACTCTGACACACTCAAATTTGAAACAAAATAACATTGTTTGTCCTGAAGTAGCTTATTGGTAAATATGCATGTAGGCCAGGGATTCTTAACCAAGGGCCCAGAGTCGGTAAGTATATACCCCTTTACAGAAAAAAGCCAGACTTTTCACATTTCTCAAAGATTGCACACTTTAAAATAAAGCTTAAGAGTTGCTTTAGCTAATAATAAAATGAATATAACTTTATAACTGAATACCACAGAAATCAAGGATTGTCATTTTATCAATCTACTTATTTGGCAACCTATAATACAGCTGCTAAAGAAACATTATTAGACACTAATAGGTAGTTTTCATTTGCCTAATTTGTGTCCTTGAAGGTCTTTAAGAGATTATACTCTCTTTAATAAAAAATCTGTACTACATATATAACATACCAGGTGGATATTAAAAATGGGCACACTTTCAAATACGATTAATTTTCTAAAACATGGCCCTAAAGGGACACACTGTTTCATGTTGTATGCATGCTATTACCATCACATGTTTGGATACAGGCTGACATTAGTGACTAAAGAAAAGGGTTAGATAAAATATGTCTTCATTAAGCAAGATAAATAATAAATAATAGAGTAATTTAGTACCATGCAGCAAAAGGTAAAGCCCTAATAGACAGATCTCAAAATAATGTTATGCAATAGTGAGAAACATGACATCCAAGTACATTAAAACACAGCATTAAATGGTATTATACCACCAATCAAAAGTTACTTGCTTTTAAACTGATATTCTTTAACATGCACACTGTAGTGTTAAGTACTTAATTTCATACAGCCAGTTACTTTTCTAAAGTCTACCAGCTGCTAAAAAACTGCTGTCATCTCATACTGAGAATGCTCACGCTATACCTTTGTTCTCAGGCTGTGAGGAAGGAGTGCTGGTCCAAAAGGCCATTGGATTAGATTTAAAAAGACTAAAATTAAATCCTACAAAATAAAGAGTATTTAATTTTGGAACATTATGAGAATCAAAGTGAATATGATGCTAAAATATAAAAAGCCAGTCCCTCAATTTATGCCAATTTGGCCATTTTACGTATTCATTTATCCAAGAGGTTCATTCTTTGTTCATTTAATATTGAGTGGCAAGACTAATTTACATAAAATGTGAGCATCTCAAGACCATGTTTTTTGTTTTTGTTTTTGAGTGACAAGAAAATAACAATAATTTAAAGAATGAATACTTAAGAAAAAAGAAGAAAACAGACTCAAGTTAATGTTCATGATTCAAGTATAATGACTAAATTTCTGTATTGCATTGAGTTCATGTGTTCTACCCTAAGTATGATATAAATATCTTCCACCTATTAAAGATACTCCAACGTATCTTACACACATACTTTCTGTTACTGTTTGAACACTCACAGGTAAAATAATTTTGGGAGAAAAAAATTCAGTGCAAATGTGGTTTGGCTGTTCATAAAGCACTGTGTTTATGACCCAATTTTCAGTAAAACGTTAGTATCCTACAAAGAATCTGCATCAAGTTAACATTAAAAAGAAAAATATGAAATAAAAATTTGCTTAATCTATCAAGACTAAGTGCTTACCTTTTTCTGATGTCTTAAATGTGTAATTAGTTGAGAACTCTTCCTTTGGAAAAGCAGCAAAGAGATTTTGTATTTTGCCATCTGGAGACTGTTTAATATCAGAGTTCTTTGATGCTTCGCAATTGGGTTCCTCTTGTCTTTCAGATCCACTCTGAACTCCTGAACTAGTTTCACTATTCTTTAAAGGTGCATTAAAACTAAATCCAAACAAAGACCCAGTAGCTGAACTATTGCCAAATGTAAATGGTTTTGATTTTTCACTACTAAAAATGCTTTTAACAGATTCTGAACCAAATACAAACTTTGGAGGAGAAACTACTGCTTTAGTTGCTATTTCAGATGTGCTAGACACATCTCCAACTTCTGAGGTTGCATCTGCTATATCGTCGCCCTGAAGTAAATCTGTCCTCTCTTTTGTGGTTTCTTCTAATACAGCTACAGCAATTCTGCCACAGGGTGACTCTCTGGGAGTGGTCGAAAAAGAAACATGAGGTGTTATCAAAGAATCTTTTTCTTGGGCTATTTTTGCTTCATCAAATATTTTCTTAAATGAGTCTGCAACATCCTGTAGTTTAAACCGGACAGCTAAATGTTCTACTTTTCTTTCTCCATCTGCAAAATCACATGCAGTCCACACCCACACTCTTTCAGTCCCTTTCATATTTTGCAAAGTCATATCTGGAGTTATTCTGTGATTGGCACAAAGTTTTAACACCTGGTCCCTTCTCATCACTATGCGAACTTGCTTATTATCATAATTCTGTAAAATCTTTATATCACCAATGCCTCTTTCTTTCCACTGACCAACATCTTTATCATATCTATAGAGTTTTGCTCTGTGACTAAACACAACTTGTTCATTTTCCTCACCACTGGATACTTCAACTAAATCAGGCAAAGGTACAACAGGTTCAAAGTACTGTCCATCTCTCTCCTCTTCTTGAGTAACATCAGATTCTTCATCATTACCAACTGTGGTCCCACTCTGATTCAACATGGCAGGAGACTTAGATGGACTCAAAGCAGATTTAAAACTGAAGTTAAATCCTGTTGTTGACTCACCAAAACGGAAGAGATTTTTTCTCACAGGGCTACTTGCCAGTGGAGAAGCATGTACTGAGCTAGTGCTTACACTATCATCCAAAGCATCCTCCCTTAAATCATAGTTACTCCACTCTAATGTGGGTCCAGTGTTTTCAGGATTTGGCTTTGTGGTTATGTCTGAAACACTGGCAGCATCTGCATCTGAATTCTTACTTTCTTCCTCAGTGACTTTTGTTTGATCATTTGTCAAAAATGTTTTGAAATCTTTTAGCCCACTCTTCATTTCTTCAGCTCTCTGTATTAACTTGGCAGCTCTCCCAGTATCCACCAACTTATGGGGAGTTTGAAGTGGTATATCTAATAGAAGTCGCTGGCATTCCTCAAATTTCTGCTTGAATTCTTCAGCAAGCTCTGGTGTTTTAAATTTTGCTGCCAGCTGCTCTAGTTTGGCATCTCCATCAGAAAAATCACTAGCTAACCACATCCATGCTCTATCTGATCCAGATAAAGGCTTCAGGTTCATTGTAGTGGTTATCCAATGATTAGCACACACTTTTAGTACTTGCTCTCTTCGCATTAACATTCTTAGTTTGCCATTGACTTCATTTTTGAGAATTTTTAAGTTCCCCAAACCCCTTTCCTTCCATTGACTTATCTCAGCATCAAATCTAAATAACTTTACCCGCTGTGAATAAAGAACTTTTTCATCTTCTTCTCCTGTTACAAGTTCTACTTTTTCAGGCATTTGAACTACTGGTTCAAAATGGATGTCATCACTGTCCTCAGTTTTATAGGCATCATCATCTCTCTCAAGGTCAGTAGAATTGTCAGCTTTATCAGCCTTTTTACCACTTTGCAATGAGAATAATTTTTCTCCAGCACCTGAAAATCCCTTGAAATTAGGGTCTTTTTTGCCAAATTGAAATCCTTCTCCTGAAGTTGATTTTGCAAGATCTGCAAAGGTAAAAGTGCTTCCAGTTTGACCAAATATCACCCCAGTATCATTCTTCTGACTGCTAACACCTTGAGCCTGAAAATCATTGTCATTTTCAAGTGGTTTTTCACTATTCTTCTCTTGATTTCCCAGCTCCTGAATGCCAAATTTAAATCCATCAGCAAGCACAGGAATAGAAAAATTAAATCCTTCTATTGTTGAATTAGTGTCTTTATTAGAACTCTGAAATGTAAATGGTGTATTTTCTTGATCCATGTGTCCAAATTTAAATCCTTGTTCTGTGATGCCAAATTTAAAAGCTTTTTCTGAAAAGTTACTTTTAAATCCTGTTCCCATCTGATTTCCAGAAGAGTCATTTAACTTAGCTTTTGAGCCCAATGTGAAAGCTGAAGGAGCTTCCGGAACAGGTTTATTAGTTGGTTTAGATGCATCACAAGCCACACATTTTAAGGAAGAACTCTCATTTTGCACAAAGCAAACATTACAATCCCACTGTCCTTCCTTCTTGGTGAACATTCCTTCAAATCCACTCTTTGTGGCCTTGCTTGTCTCTGAAGAGGCAGGTGCTGAAACAACAGGAGTAGGCTGATTTTGTGTACTTGGATTCTGACAAGCAACACATTTGGTAGTACTTGCTTCATTTTGCACAAGGCAAACACTACAATCCCACTGTCCTTCCTTCTTGGTGAACATTCCTTCAAATCCACTCTTTGTGGCCTTGCTAGTCTCTGAAGTACTAAACTTAAAAGAGGCAGGTACTGGAACAGCTGAAGAAGACGGACTTGGTTTATAAGGATTATGACAGGCAGCACATTTCGCAGCATTTGCTTCATTTCGTACCAAGCATACACTGCAATCCCACTGTCCATCCTTTTTAGTAAACATGTCCTCAAATCCACTCTTTGGAGTTTTATATATATCTGAAGCATCAAACATACAAGCAGCAGGGGCTGAAACAGTAGGTAAATTCTGTTTTCTTGAATTATCACAGGCAACACATCTTGAAGAGCTTCCTTCATTTCGTACCAAACAAACGCTGCAATCCCACTGTCCTTCTTTTACAGAAAAAACAGACCTGAAATCATTGTTAACAGACTTAGGAAGATCTCCCTGGCCAAATTTAAAGGAAGGCTGCTGAACAAATGAAGAGCCACTTTTGTTAGCAGACTTCGTATTCTGGCATGCAATGCATCTAGATACAGTAGGTTCATTTCTCACTAAACAAGTACTACAATCCCAGTGACCTTCATTCTTTGGAATCATCAACGCAAACCTATCTGGAGTATTTTCTGGGCTAGTTTTAAGAGTGGGAATAGTTTCAACTAATGGTGGGCCAAGGAGCTCTTTATTGCTTGGGTTTAGATTCTGGCATGAAACACATTTCTTAGCAGCTGCAGCATTCTTTAATGAACAGCTGTTACAATGCCACCAAGACCCTTCCTTCTTAGCTACTTGAAATTCAAAATTCATATTTCTTGCATCAGATTTGCAGATATCCTTATTACTTGTGGGTTCTTTTATAATTCTCATAGCCTTATCTGTTGTGGTTACCTTTGCTCCTGAGGCTTTTAAAATATTCTGAGCCTCTTCAAACTTACACTTAAAGAGTGCTGCTTCCTCAGGAGTTTTGAATCTAATAGCAAGTTGTTCCGGTTTGGGGAACTCATCTGCATAATCATTAGCATGCCATACAAAAGATTTGTCTGATCCAGCATTTGGTGTCAATTTCATATCTGGACTGATGTAATGATTTGCACATATTTTCAATACTTGTTCTCGTCTCATTAGAAGGCGAATTTTACCAGATGTTTTATGTCTTAGTATCTTTACATTGCCAATTCCACGTTCCTTCCATTCTTTGGATTCTGCATCAAAACGGAACAATTTTGCACGATTGCAAAAGAATTCTTCTTCATCTTCCTCACCAGTCTTCACTTCAATCTTATCAGGAAGAGGAACTACAGGCTCAAAGTGAGGGCCATCATCATCGTCATCACCATGGGCACTCCCTCCATCTGCTTCATGATTCTTGTTGGCCACCTCTGGAGCAGGTGTTCCAAACACTGATTTTCCTGGACCATGGAAAGTAAACATATCATCACTTCGATAAAAAACAGAATTCTTTTGATTTGGACCTATGTTTTCAGTAAATGAAATTCCAGGTACATTTTTGCTTCCAAAATTGAATGTATTTCGAAATCCAGTAGTTTGACCACCTTTTGCTCCACTGTAACCATCTCCTTGCAAAGGTTTTTCTGAAGTCAAAAGACCTAAAAGGCTTTCACTATTATTGTAAGCCATAGAAGGGGGCTGTGTCACAACCTGCGGTGAGGAAAACGTGAAATCACCATCATTTGATTTGAAGTTGGAGTTAAATTTAAAAGGAGGTGGCTGTGTTGTATGTGCAGGTGCTGTCAAAGATGGCCTTATTCCTTCACCTGGCATTGGCTGAACAAAATTAGTTTTACCAAATTCTATAACCTTCGATTCTGCAGATCTTGAAGCATGAGCTGCAACTGGAGGTTTTGTGAAATAACCTGGTTCTGGCAAAGGTGGGTTTGTGCTTGGCTGTTGAATATTGTAATTAAAATAATCATCACCCCTGGGTGACAAAATTCCTGTGGCAGGAGACTCAAAACGCAATGGAGGACCATACATCTCTTGAGAAAACATACAAGCAGATGTGCTTTGCACAGGTGGTGTGTGCATCTGTTGTGAATAGGCATAAATATGCTGCTGAGGTGGAAGTCTATTCATGCCATAAACTGGACCCTAAAAAGAAAAAAAATGTTAAATTTGTGTAGGTTGTCTACAAAACTACAGGTAACTACTAAATACAAACCAATTTTCACAAACCACACACATAAGTATAAGGTAAAGATATCATTAGGTAATGTAGAGAATCATTAAGAAAAGACAGCATTACTAAAAAAGGTATTTACAATTATATTCCTTCTTGGCATATAATAAAAATTGTCTTAACTCATGACCATCTTAAAAACTTAATTCTCTAATACTTTCAACAATAAAGAATTTAAATTTTTTAAAAATTTAATTCTCCAACAATAAACGCATAGTATAAATATCTTCTTTATTTATCAATGTGTCAAATGATGTTAACAATGATGATGATCATGGCCTTGGCTGGTGTGCCTCAATTAGTTTAGAGGTCACTGGTTCGATTCCCTATCAGGGCATATGCCAAGGTTGCACACTCAGTTCCCAGTAGGGGACATGCAGGAGGCAGAAGATTCATGGTTTTCTTTCACTGGTGTCTCTCTTCCCCCCCTCCTTCCCTTCCTATCTCTAAAAGCCACAGAAAATCGTATTTAAAGAATAATAATGATGAATATTAGCATTTATCGAGCTATTACTGTGCCAAGTTGAGCAATGTTCTAAATACTTTACATATATTAATTTTAATATCCTCAAAAACCTTATGAATTAAGGCATTATTATCCTCATTTCACATATGAGGCAACTAATGTATAGAGATGGTAAGACACTTGCCCATGGTCACAATTAGCAGAAAAGCCAGGGCCCTAAACGCATCCAAACCTTCTGTCTTTAAGCTTCACATTCACTACTATTATAACATTGGGTCTTACCTAATTCAGACCTGAATATTGTAGTTCAGCAAGGAGATTCTACTCCTATGTCTGCCAAAACAGAATGATTAAAGACCTGCCACCACCACCCCATTTAAACATATTCTAAACGTTCACTTATTTCATAAAAATAAGATGACTAGGAAATATAACTTCTGTACCTGGAGAGAAATTTAAAGTATCTTGTGAGACTTAGAAGTTTTAGTACTTCTTAAATTTATTCGTAAGAAGCCTGAACAATTAAAAAGGAGATATTTATAAATATGTAAATTATTTCTTGGTTACCTTTGTGGGAGTAACATTAGCTGCTGGTCTGAGAAGATACTGGGAATTATATGCTGGTGACTGACTATAATATACTGAAGTGCCAGTAGTTGCAACTAAAAAAATAAAAATAAAAGAAAGAAAACACTGTTAAAAAAAAAAATCTATACTACAGTTAAGACCATCTAGGCAAGAACTATAAATCCCAAAGCAACAGAAATCAAAGAAAGATTTAAAACTATATCAAAATGTTTTTAATTTTTATATCAAAATATACCATGAAGAAGATTATCAAATGACAAACTAATAAAACTGCTGAATATGACACATGAGGAATAAGAGCATGGCAGTAGTCAACAAAAATAAGCACCTCACAATAGGCATCAAAAAAGTAAGAAGTAAGTAGCTGGTCAACTTTCCAAGAAAGAGTGATATGATGTGAGCACACAACTGTGTTCCAACAACAGAAATATTGAGAACAAATTAGTCATGGGAAGGGTTTAAGGCAGTGGTCACCAACTCCATGAGATCCAAAAGGATGGAGACTGCTGTTTTAAGGAACCAAAATATACCTGATGGCCCCAGAGCCATATTTCTGAAGTGAGCTTTGAAAATCTGCACAAAACAAGGTTGCATTTTCTAAACTAAACCTTAGAATGTCCAGGTCAAAAGTCACCAGGACATTCACATATGAGATCCATGAAAAAGGACCTCACAAGTAACATAAATAACACAAAATGTTATTTATACTCCCCACCTTGGAGTGAAAGTGGGAAGGATACATCATGTCTGACAGTCATTCCAATGTCCAAACTATTTCCTTCATCTGATCTGTTTTATGTGAGTTTTATCAGGAAATCAACAATTAGAATACACTCGTGCTGATGGCAAAACTATCAACAGTCATTTGCTTGATCTGTTAATAAAAGTTTTATCAGAAAACAATACAATTTAAGGACTATTTATGCCTTTACCCAAAAGAAGAAATACTAATTATGACTCAAGAGATGTTAAACTATTAATTCTGGCAAGCACTGAAAAAGACCTAGAAAAAGCTAGCCAGTCTAAATTGTAAAGAAGCCAAAGTCTGATTTTGGAAAATGAATGGAACTGCCTGGTGAACATGATTATTTTGGAATATTCTGAGGAGAAAACAGGCATAGAACAAGCTGATGGACATGAGCCAAGAATAATAAAGTATGAAAATTAGTGACCTTATCAATGACTAGTAACTGTTTAAATAGTAAAAAAACAAAATAAACAAAAATCCACCCGCATCACACAACAAACTAAGAATACTTATAAACCTATTACAAAAAGCACCAAGTGAATAGGTAAGTCAGGAAATATAACAGATTATAAAGTGTTTAGCATGCTTAATGACAGTATTTTTGTTCTTAAAAATTGGCAAAGGTTTTTATAAACTGACTAGTAGCCCTGCGCACGAATCCATGCACCAGTAGCTCTCTGTGGGGCCTGGCTCATCCGCGACCGGGCACAGAACGCTTGCCTTGTCACTGGGGCGACAACACAAGGACCGCCCTGTGCCCGCTGCCCAGAGGTCCTCCACAGCCAGGGTGGAACACTTGCCTCGTCATCACGGTGATGAAGCAAGCATTCTCCCAGGCCGCTCATGCTGCCCACTCTCAGTGGCCGCCCCCCAAAACTGGGAGACTCCAGTGGGACTGAGAGGACTGGGCACTGCCATCTTTGTGACTGAGTAATGTTAATTTGCATATTATTTTTATTAGAAAGGATAATAGTTAACACTAGGCAAGAATACAAAGAAATGGGCATTAGTAGATTCAGTGATAAGAGTGTAAGCTGGCCGAGACCGGTTTGGCTCAGTGGATAGCGTCGGCCTGCGGACTGAAAGGTCCCGGGTTCGATTTCGGGCAAGGGCATGTACGTTGGTTGCGGGCACATCCCCAGTAAGGGGTGTGCAAGAGGCAGCTGGTCGATGTTTCTCTCTCATCAACGTTTCTAACTCTCTATCCCTTTCAATTCCTCTCTGTGTAAAATCAATAAAATATATTAAAAAAAAAAAAAGAGTGAAAACTGGCATAGCTTTTCTGTAAAGCAATTTCCCAACACAAAAGCATTTTTAAAATATGCTACAATTCTGGAAATGTGCCCACAGCACTATTTGTAACAGCAAAAAGTGGAACTAACAAAAATAATGGAATAAAATTTACAGTACTGCTATATGAAAAAATAGTATATTCATTAATGTATTTTCAAAAAATATTTAATAGCTATGTGCTCAGAACTTAAAGTAATATTTTAGAAATAGGCTAATCAACTGAAGGACTTGTATACATGCGTATAAGTATAACCAATGGACACAAAACTCTGGGGAGGGAGGGGATGTGTGTGTGTGGGGGGTTATGGTAAGATATGTACACAGATAATAATTTAATAAAAAAAGGAAAAAAATAATAATAAAAATAAAATAAAAGTTAAAAAATAAAATTAAAATAAAAAAGAGGCTAACTTATCTACATACATCCTAACGTAATAAAAGTCTCATTAAAAATACTTTATGTTTACATAAAGAAGAAAATGCTCCAAAATGTTAATGGAAATCTTTGTGATATTGTTAGCTTTTCATTTTCTTTATACTGTTCAATATGTCTTAATATTACCTATAAGCTTATTAATCATTTTTTAAATCATCTTATTTTCAAAAGACAAGATACATCTTGGTATATTTTTACTTCCATTAAGAAAAACAAATCTGTAAACACAGGAATGGGAATCAAGAGATTTAGCTCTGCTTTTCGAGCCACAAAGCTGTTTTAAGACCTTGTCAATTAGCCATTTGGAATCTCCCATTTTCTCACACATCTTATAGGGTAATTGTAAGAAAAAATGAGACCATTTGAATGTTATTTTTACATTTTTTTAGCAACCTTTCATGCCTGTACAAAAGAAATGGAAATTATGATCTAACAGATGTCAAATGATCAATTCAGACAGCACTCAAAAAGCCTTAGAAAAAGTTAGACAGTTTACTTATCTTCTCTTCACAAGGCTCTATATAGTACACAGGGTTTTTAAGTAAGCAATGTTTGAACTCTTGACATCTCATATATTTGTCTATAACACATGACATTTAGTAAGTAGAAGCTTACTATTTATTTTAACTGCATTTAGAAGAGACTGTCACAAGAGGATAGTGAGGCAGCCTTAAATATTACTCCCAAAGACTATCACACAAATGTACTAATATAAACTAGATTAAAGCATTCCAAATCTTTCCTGGGTTAAAACCAATTAGAAAAAAAAATACATACTACTACCATTTCAGGAATCTGTCTCATGTAAAAGCAATCTATTTTTGACATCATTTCTGGGTGCCTGAGTGCAATGTATCATATGGCAAATGGCTTTAAAGTTAGACCACTGGAGTTTGAACCCCAACTCTTTATCAATAATTACCTTGTACAATAATGGATGAATTACCTACCCATTTCCTCATTTATAAAATTAGGATTAGAAATAGTACCTACCACTCTGGGTTACTGTGATTAGTACTACTGTACAGAGACAACCCACAGAAATACTATTAATACCCTTTGGTTCATTAGTGTTTACTGTATGTAAGCACTTAATACATTCCCATACTTACACAAATGCTTACAATCATGTGAGTCAAGTATTATTATCTCCATGTTTCAAACAGACAAACTGTCTTAGAGAGGTCGGTAAGTGATACAACACAACTTTAAAATCTAATATAGTCTAACCTTAAACTCCTTCCTTTTATGTATGACCATGATATTTCAAAACAAGATTTATTATTAATGTCATAACTCTGTGTATATCATCAAAATAATTCCTGAGAAGTTTTAAGTTTTTAATTAGGCATCTCTTAATGCATAATGATAGAAATTAACATTTTTCAATTATAAGGAATACTTCTACCTCAGTCTCAGCTCCTCTGACATGGGCATTAAAGGATTCTTCTTTAAGACTTTTTATACATATTATCAGATAAAGTTTATTTTGTTTCTGATGGGAATTTTAAACATCTCAGTAATACCAAAGACAGCTTAAGTAACATATATGCAGACATATACACATATATGAAAACAAATACATGTACACAAGGTGGTTTCAAAAGTGATCTACTTAAAAGAGAAGACACAGTGATTTACTAACATATCCAGTTGCCAACTCACCTGTTAATGGAGTCCCCTGAAAAGTCTGTGATCCCTGATATCCATCAGGCACTGAATCTGGTCCATAACATTCTGTAGGCCAACGATGAGGGGACCCCAAGTTACTGCTATTTAGTTTCAATTCCTGCATTTCTTTCTGATGGAAGAAAAGACAAAATTTTAAGGAATTCTATAATGCCAGAACAGTGACGGAGCAAACAAGTATTTTAAATAGCTGAAGGGGCCCTGTAAGAGACTCTACATTCCAAAAAGAGCTGATTACCAGATGCTGATTTAAGAACATGATCCTTAAAGTGTTAACAATTCATATGCTCCCGTTCTTTCATTCCTTAGTACCATTATCTAATTCATTCATTCTAGATTAGAGTTAGCTTTATCCTAAACAACTAATCTCCTAATGGCCTCATCTCCGTTTCCATTCTACACTTGCCTAAATTAATCTTTCTAAAGTTCAGTTCTAGCCAAGTAGCTACAAAGTTTCTATTTCTGACATTTATATCCTCAGCAGTATTATCCCAAATATCCTTCCAGCATATCTTCTTTCCACACTGCTTTACCCTTCAGTCCATGTGGACTACTTCAACATTATAAATTACCTCTCACCCTAACCGGTTTGGCTCAGTGGACAGAGCGTTGGCCTGCGGACTCAAGGGTCCCAGGTTCAATTCCGGTCAAAGGCATCTACCTTGGTTGCAGGAACATCCCCAGTGTGAGGTGTACAGGAGTTTCTAACTCTCTATCCCTCACCCTTACTCTCTGTAAAAAATCAATAAAATATATTTTTAAAAATAAATAAATAAATTACCTCCCAATACCAGCTTTCCAATTATATACATTTGATGTAACAAAACACTATTTATCCTTTAAGGTGATGCTCATATGCTCCACTAGAAAAGAAAAAACTAAAATTTGCTCAGGGTGAGGCAAAAATATATTTATAGTTGTGTGCATGGAAAACAATACAATAATTAATAAATACAAGAATCAGCCGAAACCAGTTTGACTCAGTGGATAGAGCGTCAGCCTATGGACTGAAAGATCCCAGGTTCGATTCTGGTCAAGGGCATGTACCTTGATGGCACATCATCCCTAGTAGGTGTGCAGGAGGCAGCTGATCGATGCTTCTCTCTCATTGATGTTTCTAACTCTCTATCTCTCTCCCTCTCTGTAAAAAAAAATCAACAAAAAATATATTTTAAAAAAATACATTCCATGTAACCTCTTACATCTCCACTTTTGAAGGTAATTTATAAATACGGGTGAAAAACCGCCATTCCCTGGAGCATTATCCCCATATGTAGAGATTCTGCTTCCTGGCCAATTGTTGACAGTTTGGCTCAAATAAACTCACAAAAATTCTTTTAAAAAAATAAATAAATAAAAATAAATAAATAAATACAAGAATCAAGTTTTGTGTACTCTCAATTGCAAATCTACTTTTGCCTCATCCTGTATTATGTATCCTATCTAATAAAAGAGTAATATGCAAATTGACCGTCACTCCAACACACAAGATGGCTGCCCCCGTGTAGTCAAAGATAGCTGCCCCCATGTGGACACAAGATAGCCGCCACAAGATGGCCAGCAGGGGAGGGTAGTTGGAAGGGACCAGGGCTACAAGGAAGGGCAGTTGGGGGTGATCAAGCCTACAGGGGAGGGCAGTTAGGGGTGACTAGGCTGGCAGAGGAGGGAAGGTGGGGGCGACCAAGCCTGTAGGAAAGGGCAGTTGGGGGGGACCCAGGCCTGCATGGGAGGGCAGTTAGGGGCAATCAGGCTGGCAGGGGAGCAGTTAGACATCAATCAAGCTGGCAGTGGAGTAGTTAGGGCATGATAAGGCTGACAGGCAGAAGCGGTTAGAGGCAATCAGTAAGGCAGGCAGACAAGCAGTTGGGAGCCAGCAGTCCTCAATTGTGAGAGAGATCCCATATCAGAGAAGGTGCAGGCTGGCTGAGGGACACACCCCCACCCTCTGTGCATGAGTTTCATACATTGGGCCTCTAATATAATAATATATTACAAACACTTTACCTAAGTTTTTAATCCTTACACAGTTGTATAATATTAGCAACTTACATCTTAATAGTAACATGTCTTAAATTGAGAAAGATATAGAAAATAGCACAGCTAGAATTGAAAACAGATCTTACTCCAAAAATATTTTCATAATACCCTCTGCTGCCTAGATTAAAAGGCAGATGTTTGGCCTTCTAATGGTACCCATGTGGCTAACTATCAGATCTCTTGTCATTTTACAGACAATACCTTCCCCAACCCTAAAACCTACAAAATGTCCCTTACAAAACAGGCATTTAATAAGAAACTTTGTTTAAAAAAAACAAAAACAAAAACAAAAAAACACGAAACAACCATCATGTTAGCATACAACAGGTTCACATTAGAAACAAGTATCAAGTTTCGTTGTGTGGGTCCACGTATCTGATCAGTTATAATGAGTGAAGTCAGAGACAGAGTCAGCATGTCTGGTCACCTTCTTCTAGAGGTACTTTCAAATACAAATTTCCCAAAAGCCATAACTACTAGGGTCAAAAATCTCTTTCTAGCTAAATTTTCTAGCTAAATAAATTTCTCCCACTCATCCATCTACTGTGTCTAGTCCAGATGCTTTACATCCATAAATAATTGGTGGCATCAACAACAAAAAAAGTACTGGTCTCTACCAATATCTGGACATAGTTTAAGCATGCAAAAATTAGAATTAGAATTTTTAAAACTCAAAACAACTAAAAATGTGATGAGAACTGGTTTCAACAATTCTCACTTTACAACCAAGAAGCCAGAGAGAGAAAAAGGTTAAAAAAAATGCCTGGCCCAAAATGGTTAGTGGTCAAGTTAGTACTAGAGCTCGGCTCTTTAAGCACATGAACTAGTGTTCCATTATCTTCCACAAAATACATTGGTGGGTGCCTGGAACCTCTAAGTCAAGAGTATATGTAATATCATAATAGGACATAATTATACGAAATTGTCAGAAAAATATTTGTGCAAATTCAATAGTTTGTTGCCCTCCCAACAGCATTTTTAATGCTCACACACTACTGTGATAGTTAAGGTCACTTGTACAGAGTTCAAATAAGATTATATACATAACTATTTCCTTACATAATTAAGTTGAATTGATATGAAAATATTAAAAAGATAAAAGAGACTTTCTGAAGTTCAGAGCACTTATCAATTACCAACTATAAATTCTTCAAATATATTTTTATTGATGTCAGAGAAGGGAGAGGGATCGAGAGATAGTAACATCAAATATTTATATTGATGTCAGAGAAGGGAGAGGGAGCGAGAGATAGAAACATCAATGATGAGAGAATCACTGATCGAGTGCTTCCTGCATGCCCCCTAATGGGAATGGAACCGGCAACCTGGGAATCAAACCTAGAACTCTTCAGTCCACAGGCTGATGCTCTATCCACTGAGCCAAACTAGCTAGGGCACCAGTTATAAATTTGATACACACACTATAATTAGTCTGAGAAATTAATTCATAGACCAAGATATTTTCACTAGTTCAATTAAATCACTTGGAGGCCTCCTCTATGCCAGAAACAATGCTCTGTACTGAATAAAAGAGTATATACCTTTGAAAGATTCACATATGGTGGAAGATGCAGACATAGATAATTCCAAAAATATGGTGTTAATATGGAGATATGTATAACACAGTATGATTCTATTGTAGACAGCAAATGCACATTTTGAACAGCTTCAGAAAGAAATGAGGGAGTGGTCAAAGAAGGAACTTTAGAATAAGGAAGGCACAGAATAGAGAAATTAGTGATTTACCTTAATGGCCTCTACTTGTTGGCAGATCATTTTTAGTAAAGAATTTTGATCTTCTGCCCATTGAGGCGGTGCTTTGGGAGAATACTAAAAAAAAAAAAAAAAATTGAGTATTTAGAACAGAAACATATTCCACAATGAAATGATTCACTTCTTTCCCACTTACCTTGTAACTTTTATTTGGTGACAGAGAATATTTGGTAGGAGATGGTGTGGAATATTTCATTTCTGAATCTGTATTACGCAAAGAACCATTTTTATAAAGAGGACCTCCTTCACTATAGTCATCGAGTTGCTGCATAACTGAATTAAACATATCTTTTACAGACTCCAGGGGCACAGGCAACTAAAAATAAAAGACATAAATCAAAGGTCTTAGTTTGCAAAAATATCAAAGTAAAAATTCTTAAATAAATTTATTATTTTATTTTACTAATTTATTTTTTCTCACTTATGTATACCAAACACTTTATATCTTTTTTTTTTTTTTTTAATGATTCTGCCTTTTATTATTAGGTCAAAACAGATAAAGTACAGGGAGAAGTAGCAACAAAAGGACTGTCATACAATGAGCTTCTGCTGGTTCTCAGGCAAGGACCCCTGTGCAGGAGTCGATGCCTCAATCCACAGCACACCCTTACAACATCACTTGGGCTCTAAAGTGCATCTGCTTGGTGGCATTGTTCTTCATTCCCATCTTCAGCAGGCATTTTGACTTCATCCTCTGAACATATTTCATGTCCCGTTTGTTCCTAAGAGCTGCTCCTGTGCTGCCAGTCCATCCCAGGGCTCTGTATTACTTGAGTACCTGGCCCAATGCCTTCTGATTCTTGGCAACTGTCACAGCTCTTTTTTTTTATATATATATATATTTTATTGATTTTTCACAGAGAGGAAGAGAGAGATAGTTAGAAACATCGATGAGAATCATCGATCAGCTGCCTCTTGCACACCCCCCACTGGGGATGTGCCCGCAGCCAAGGCATATGCCCTTGCCCGGAATCGAACCCGGGACCTTTCAGTCCGCAGACCGACGCTCTATCCACTGAGCCAAACCGGTCCCGGCTGACACAGCTCTTGACAAGCCAAATCACTATTTGTATCTCATTAAGGAATGATGGTCCACTCTGGCACCAGAGGGTAGAATCAGCTCCATAGTTTCATCATCATAATCCAAGGTCTTATCTGAGGGCAACTCCTTTGTCTCATCAGGCTCCTCCCTTTCCTTGTGGTCTGGGTAGCTACTCCTCAATTAGAAGTCTGTAAATTCCAAAGCAGCATCACCATCTATGAAGAGCTTACAGTGGCTTTTGACATTCATGTGTGCTTGCCCAGCTTCCTTAGATTAAAAGGACTTCCCTTTCTCATTGCACCATAAGCAAATCTTCCCAACACAAACTTTTTCTCCCAAACACTGAATCGGTCCCTTTAAGATCCGAAAGATATTCTGTATCAGGAATAAAGAAGCTATGGATTTTAGTCATATGAGCCACTTTCTTCATATGGGAACCTGAATGACGGAACAAAATAAGGAGTCCTTTATAAAGATGGCACCAAAAGGAGTGCCTCCCCCAGCCTCTTCCTCCTCTGCATCCTGCTCCTCCAACTCCTCCATCGACTCAGCATCTTCACATTCCATTTCATCAGAATCAGTATCTTTTCCAATTGTCTCCATCCAGATCCCCTTCCTCTCTTCCTCGCCCTGCTGCTTTGCCAGTTTCTTTGCCTGCCGTTCAAACCACTGTAATCAGGGAGATTTCTTGTCTGGGTTTCGGTCGTCTGCCACAGGTCCTCCTTCAGCAACTGTCCCAGGACCTCTGGACTCCTTCCTAGGAGCTGGAGGGGCCCTCTTGGGAGACAGCTGGACTTTTTTTTATTACATAGGTTCCTCATTTCTTCCCCCCTCCACCAGGTTCCCACCCCACCCTCCGCCCCCTCCCCATCCCCCATTGTCATCATCCATAGGTGCAGTTTATGTTCAGTCTCTTCTTCCCTCCCTTTCCCCAATAGTAAATCCCTTTTCAGATAGTAAATCAGTTACTTAGCATTTTCTCAAATCAATAATACCTCCACATGCCCAATGATACACTTCACACAAAAGACATTTCCCAATAAGTCCACCAGCCTCATCCAGGCCCCACCCAAGGCACTCACAGATCAACACCCCAGCCCTAAACTAACTCAACACATCCAGATCTAAGCCTTCATCACTTGATTCAGCAGACCCTCAAGTTCCCACGAAAGTTTCCAGCCATGTCTGAGAAGCAGCCGTGGGGCAGGGGCAGGCGAGGAGCGAGCTGTTCCGGGCCTGGCTGCTCAGGGCCTGGCCTCTGTTGCTCTGGTTCATTCCACAACCAGCTGCTCCGGGTCTGATCACTGCCGCTCCCGACCTAGTTGCTCTGGACTTGGCTGCTGCTGCTCCGGGCCTGGCCGCTCCCAGCCTGGCAGCCGCTGCTCCGGACCTGGCCGCACCCGACCCGCCTGCTCCCCCGGGCCTGGCTGCCCCCAGCCCGGCAGCCGCTGCTCCGGGCCTGGCCGCACCCGACCTGCCTGCTCCCCCGGGCCTGGCCGCTCCCAGCCTGGCAGCCGCTGCTCCGGGCCTGGCCGCACCCGACCCGCCTGCTCGCCCGGGCCTGGCCGCTCCCAGCCTGGCAGCCGCTGCTCCGGGCCTGGCCGCACCTGACCCGGCTGCTCTGGGCCCGGCTGCCCCGAGCCTGGCCACTCCCGACCTGGATGCTCTGGGCTTGGCTACTGCTGTTCTGGGTCTGGCTGCTCCCACCCCGGCTGCTCTGGGCCCGGCTTCTCCGGGCCCGGCCACTCCGGGTCTGGGTGTTCCTGGACTGGCCACCCTGGGCTTGGCCGCCTCCGCCTCAGGCCTGGCTGCCACTGCCCCAGGTCTGGCTACTCCAGTGCTGGCTGTTGATGCTCTGGTTCTGGCTGCTGTTGCTCTGGGGCCTGGCCGTTGCTGCTCCGGGCCTGGCTGCCACTGCCTTGTGCCTGGCCACTCTAGGCCTGGCCGCCGCTGTTCCAACATTCTGTCCTTTTTTTTTCTTTTTTCTTTTTAAAACGCATTTATGTTGCAATGTTGGCTGGTGAGTTGAGTTCTTAGTCTTTGATTTTTCAAGATCTTCTTTGTATTCTTTCTTAAGTAATTTTACTATCTTTTTCTCTCACTTGATTTCTTCACATTGAGAACTTCTTTGGTTTCTTCCTCCTTGTCCTGGGAGCTCAGCAGGTTGGCCTGTGGCACCCCTTTGTTCTGCGTGGGCTCCTGCGCTGCTTCAGTCTGTTGCTGGGACGGCACCGCCCAGGAAGCAGCCCCCGGCCTTGGCTCCATTGCCCGAGCTCAGTGGTCAAAGGCTCAGGGGCACCCACGCCCCCAGGGGCCCCGTGGCCCGCCTCCTTGCTGGTGCCCGGTTGGCTGGCGTCCGGCAGGGGCTTCCGCTCCCCTCCGCGTTCCCCCAGCCCGGAGCTTTTTTCTTTCTCCTTCCCGCTAGGGAAGTCCAGCATCAGAGTCAACAGACTGTCCTCTGCGCACAGTTTGCGCGAGTCCTGGGAGCCCGGCCTTTCGCCGCTCTCCCCGGACTCCACCTCACAGCCCCATCTCCCACTGCCTGAGCCTGGGTCCCCAGGGATTAGCCCAGAACTGGGGTTCGGAGCAGTCCGGACTGAGGCTCAGCGCAGCCGGAGGCCTTGTTTCTTCCGGCTAGGGCAACCCAGCATCAGAGTCAACATCCAGTCCTCTGCGCGCATTGCGCGCGACTCCCGGGGCCCTGCTTTTCGTCGTTTTTCCGCCTCACAGTCCCGTCTCCTCCTGCCGGAGCCTGGGTCCCCAGGGTCTGGTCCATAACTGGGGCTCAGCGCTGCCGGTTCGGGGGGGGCTCAGCGCTGCCGGTTCGGGGGTTCAGCCCAGGCTGGGGGTTTTATTTCCTTCCTGCTAGGGAAGGAAAAGCGAGACAGCTGGACTTTGATGACCTGCTGGATAGTCGCATTCATGGCATCCTTATCAACACTGCCCACACCCAACCGTTTTTCCAAATTCTTTTCACTTATCTCCCCACTGTGATTCACTATCTTCACGTGCCACCAGGACTTCAGGTGGTTTTCGTAGGTGTTCAAACAGGCAAACTTATTACATCAGACAGTGCAGAAGGTGACTGTGCCCTTGCTCTCCTGCTCAACCACAGCCCACTGTGCTCCACCCCCACGCTTCTGGAAGCCCTTAGCGGTGACAAGGGCCATGTCAACCATCTTCCGCTTCAGGTTGTAGCATTGCCAATCCATCTTGTACTGGGTCCGCTGCAGCTTGGATTATTAAGTGCCACCCAGTAGATAATGCAGGTATACGTTGCCATCCCTAGTGATCTCAGCTAGGCCCCAACACCATGATTCACTCAAACCTTAACTCGCCTCACAGCCCGCAAGAGGTTGCACTTTATACTTTAACTAAGCCCGGGGCACAAAATTTGTGCAGAGATTGTGGGGTGTTGACCCTCTACCCAGCCTGCACCTTCTCCAATATGGACTGCTCAAGGGACCAGGATCAGGCCTAAATGGGCAGTCGGACATCCCTCTCACAATCAAGGACTGCTGGCTCCCAACTGCTCACCTGCCTGCCTTCTTGATTCCCCTAACTGCTTCTGGCCTGCCAGCCTGATCACCCAACCACCCCTCTGTCAGCCTGATTGATGCCTAACTGCTCTCCTGCCAGCCTTTTTGCCCCTAACTGCCCTCCCTTGCAGGCATGGTCCCTCCCGATTGTCCTCCTCTGCTGGCCATCTTGTGGCAGCCATCTTGTGTTCATGTGGGGGCAGCCATCTTATGTTGGAATGACGGTCAATTTGTATATTACTATTTCATTAGATAGGATAGAGGCCTGGTGCACAAGTGGAGGTAGGGGCCAGGGTAGTTTGCTCTGAAGGGTGACCCAGATCAAGGTTGGGGTTCCCTTGAGGCATGGGGTGGCCTGGGGGAGGGGCCTGTGGTGGTTTGCAGGCTGGCCATGCCCCTGGTGACCCAAAAGGAGGCCCTGATATCTGGGATTTATCTATTTCCTATAGATACTTTGTAGCCTTGAGCGGAGGAGCCAAGCCTCCTACTTGCCCCATGCCTGCAGCTATTTTTGTTGGGATTTATTTATTTTCTATAATTGAAACTTTGTAGCCTTGAGTGGAGGCTTAGGCACGCCAGGGTGTGCAAAAAGCTTGGCTTCCTCCATTGCCAGGGAAACCCAAGCCTCCTGCTAGCTCCGTGGCCACAGCCATCTTGATAGGGTTAAATTTTCAGAGGAAGAGGGAGAGACAGAAACATCAATGATGAGATTCACTGATTGGCTGCCTCCAGCACATCCCTATTGGGAATGGAGGCTGCAACCTGGGCATGTGCCCTGACCAGGAATTGAACCATGATATCCTTGTCCATAGGTGATGTTTAACCACTGAGCCATGCTGACCATGTGGTTTCTATTCTTTCTGTTAGTCATTATAATGGCAGAATGTTAACTTGGAACTTTTTTTTATTAAATATATTTTTATTGATTTCAGAGAGGAAGAAAGCAGAGAAAAGAGACAGAAACATCAATGATGAGAATCATTGATCGGCTGTCTCCTGCACACCCCCTACTGGGGATTGAGCCTGTAACCCTGGCATGTGCCCTTGACCAGGAATCTAACCCAAGATCCTTCAGTACAGAGGCCAATGCTCTATCTACTGAGCCAAACCAGCTAGGGCTGGGAATTTTTTCAATGACAGCAAAATATGTTTACAATTTATTTTGAATGTGAAAAAAAATGTAGATGCTAGAAGGCACCAGACAACATAAATTCTAATCTGAGAGCAGCAACGCAAATTAATGCAATATTTGTAAAGTTGAATATAACTGACATTAACACCATCATGACAATTTCAAACTGTTGAAAGTTGGAAAAAAGATAAGAAATGCTCTGAAGTTGTTAGATTTCTGCAAAAAATTTTTAATTGTCAAATCCTTGAGAACTAGTCTTAAATAGCAATAATTCTAAATAAAAAACAAAAATAAATGTCCTATCTTAAAAACCTTTTCTAATTCCCCATACAAGTATTTTTATAACAGTATAAACCTAGATTCTCAATTTTGAAAAACACCAAACCTAAGACAAAGCAATGCTATTAAATATTTAAACATACTGTGCATTAATTATGAAATATTACTGAATACTTCTGAAATGACCAAATTATAACACAAAATCAAAAATACTTATCAACCAATTGTCAATAATAAGAACAAAAAACGTGCAACTTACTTTTTTGACTACTGAAAGATTTGAATCACTGTCATCTAAAATCTTTATTAGGTAGTCCCGGGTCTTTCTCAGGTAATTTTTGCATTCTTCTTGTTCTTCAGGAGAATGGGCATCATTTTCAATGTCTTCTGCTTTTCTGTGAAAAATCTATACAAAGAATGCTTTTATGAAGCAATTGGGCTTTACTGCTTATTGTGTTTTGTTGTTTTTTTAAATATGGGATGCTTCACAAATGTGCATGTCACCATTGCACTGTGCTGTCCTAATCTCTGTATCATCTCAATTTTAATGTATGTGCTGCCAAAGCAAGTACCAATTAGGTTTTTGAAAGTAAAACTTTTAATTGGACATCTACTTACCAATGCAAGATTCCAATAAGAAACAACATTTTTTATTGATTCAAAAGCAGTCATAGCATCTTCTATATTTCCATTAACAGCATCCAATATAGCAAATGTTATGTGTGCTTCTTCTTCATATTCACCAATTTCAGATACCTAAAGACATTTAGTAATTTTTATTCAAATTGCCTTAATCCAGAATATCAAAACCAAATGATTTCCCAAAGAATTTGTATGTTCTAGTGAGTTTAATAACTCAGTACTATTTTGTGCCATATTTTATTTCTAATAGCTAGTGCATTTAGAAAGCAAGACTAACATTAGTCAGGCAATTAATTTAAGCAGTTTATGCCCTCCATTTGTTTATTTACATACTGGAAATCCACATCCCCAGTTAATTAACCAAGGAACCCTCCATTACCTGGATGTCTGCACTATGAAAGTGTTTAAACAGAGGGTCAGTAGGTTCAGGAATACTAATCTTCTTTTTGATCATCTTCAATAATGGCAAAACCTTCTTCCAATAATGAACACTTCTGCCGATATATTCCCGCTGATCATAAAAAGAATTAAGATCGCTGCCCTAAAATAAAATAGAAATTTAGGAGCACCCAACCTAAGGAACACAAATGATCAGAACAAAAAATGCATTTTTAAATGGATGAGAAATTGGTTAAATTACAAATCAAGGCAAAACAGAATTTCAAGTCATATCCTCAACTCTCCAATAGTAGAATAACTACATACCTAATACCAGTGATCATTCCAGACTCAATTGTTAAACACTCTCCTTTTTTTGTTTTAATATATATATTTTTAACTTATTTCAGAGAGGAAGGAAAAGGAGAGGTAGAAACATCGATGATGTGAGAGAATCATGCCTCCTGCAGGCTTCCCACTGAGGAGATCAAGCACATAAGCCAGGCATGTGTCCTGACTGGGAATACAACTGTGACCTCCTGGTTCATATGTTGAGATTCAACCACTAAGCCACAACTGCGTGGCTACCCACAAGTGCATGACTAGACTTAACTGTTAAACATTTCCAATGACACTAACCTAATAAGGCAGCCCAATCCACTTATTTTTAATTGCCACTTTTAGATAATGTAGTCAAAGGTCTAAACACCTTGTCACAGAACAGACCAAAACTATTTATAAAGATCTATAAATGCCCTTTCCTACAAAGCAATGTGCTACTGAATGTAAAAAAATTTCCAACTGGACAATAAATATAACTTAATTATTAAGTAGTAATAACAGCTAATACTTATGTAACATTTACTATGTCAGACCACTGTTCAAGTACTTATATATTAACTATATTAACAACTATGTAGCAAGATTAAAAAAATAATTTTCTCCTAGCATATCTGTTTTAGAACTGAATGACTTTCAACGAAAAGTTTATGACTTAAAAAAAATAATAATAAGGTAATGTTTTTAAAAATAAACTCACCGTTTTCTGAAGGTATTTGGCCCAATGTATAAGGAGAGCGGGTTGAAGGCCATGTTTTTCCTGGCCCCTTAGAGTATTTATGTCCCGCTGAACTAGAAGCCGCAACTTTGCTGAGGTTCCAGGGCTAAAAAATTATTTTTATTTAATAAAGTTGATTTATAAACATGCATTTCAACACATGTGTTTGTTAATCATCACACTACAATTAAATTAAATACCTAGGAAATATGTTTTTAAAGTAAATTGGTGTTTAAATAAACCCATGCAGTAAGTTAAAGGAATGTTTTTGTTTTATTACTTACATTGCTTTTCTGTGAATTAGATTACAAACTGCATCCCACCAAGACTTTTGTCTCTCTGTACAAAGTTGTTTACACACAGGAAATGGCAAGCATAGTGGTTGATAGAAGTTGTAGTGAGAACTACATTTTTCCTTCAATTGTAAGTCGCTGTTATATATTACCCCAAGTAGAAATACCTGTTTTATTTAAAGAAAAATCAATTAGAAAAAAAAAAATTTTTAAGCTCAAAATATTTAATTTGCTCAAATATTTGCTTACTTCAAGATCTAAAATACATATTGACTCAGGTGCATTTGTTTCAAGTCTTGAGGTTTCCTGAGGCAAATGATGAAAAAGTTGTTTCAGCCATTTTCGAATTGCAGGTAACGTAGGCAACAAATTCCACTGTAAACCAAGCCAGGTAAGGTGCTGAAGGCTACCATTATGTGCTCGAATGGCACCTGAAATAAAATGGAGGGGGAGTGGGGAGAATTGGCATTGAAAACTTCTTATATATCATCAGGTTTTCCAAAAACTGAGATGAAATATATCTTAATTTTCTAAGTCAGAACAGGGAAAAAGTCTATGACAACCAAAGTCTTATGTTTTTTTGTTTGTTGTGGGTTTTTTTTTTACCTTTTATCCAAGGATATTTTCCCACTGATTTTTAGGGAGGGTGGAATAGAGAGGGAAAAGGAGAGAGAATTATCAATAAAAGAGAAACACATCCATTGGTTGCCTCTTGCACGAGCCCTGACCAGGGCCCAGGCCAGAGGGAAGCCCTGCAACCAAGGTATGTGCCATTGACCAGAATCCAACCTGGGACCCTTTGGCCCACAGGCCAACACTCTATCCACTAAGCCAAACCAGCCAGGGCTTTTTCTTTTTTTCTTTTAATATATTTTTATTTATTTTAGAGAGGAAGGGAGTGGGGAAGAGAAATAGAAACATCAATAATGAGAATCCGTGAGAAACCAAGATGGCTACATAGGTAAATGCCTAAACTGCAGCCTCGCACAACAATTTCAAAACTACAAATAAAAGACAAATTGGACATCATCCAGAACCACATGAAAGCTGACTGACTGGAAATTCTACAACTAGAATTTCTACAACTACAAAGAGAAAACCACAAGGAAAATCAGAGGAGCTGTAAAAGTCTACAGTAGGGAGACACGGCGCACACATGCAGAGAGGACAGAACCAGAGAGGACAGGGTGGCTGAGTGAGTGCCTGGCTGGTGTTCTCTAGCAGTTAGGAGATAAAAGCTCCGGACTGCACTGAACCCCAGTTCCAGCCGAGATCCTGGGGACCCAGGCTCATACGGAAGGAATCTGGGCTATGAGGCAGAAACTCAGGGGAACGGTGAAAGGCAGAGCTCCGGAGGTGCGCACATTAATGTGCGCAGAGGACAGATTGTTAACTGTGCTGCTGGATTGACCTAGTGGGAAGGAGACAAAAACTCAGGACTGCACTGATCCATTGGGGGAGAGACTAGACTGTCTGGCAGCGGGCGAAACTCGAGGGAGCCTTTCTCTCAGAGGTACTTGCAGGGAGTACGGAGGGACACTGAGATCCAGGAACCAAGGCTGTAGGCTCCACCCTGAACCTCCACCCATCCAAGCTGAGCACAAAGGCTTTTGCAATTTTGCAAGTCTAGTCGAATAAGGCTCTCTCTCTCAGCATAAACACAGCTGATCCTCACAGCCAATTGCCTGGAGATCAACTCCTCCCACTGATACCAACAACAATCAACACTTAACTACAACAAGGCTGTACACACAGTCTACAAAGGGGTGCACCAAGAGTGTCCCCCTAAGGAAACTGGGCAGGCCAAACCACTGGCCCATATAGGACACCAAGCACACAAAGCTACCCTATCAACTCAGGGAAGCAGCGAAAATGCGGAGAAAAAGAAACAGATCACAAATAAAAGAAATGGGAGGAAAACAAACGACTGGAGATAGCTATGGGGGGAGGGGGGGAGGAACAACTATAATCATCTGAACAATAAAGATTAAATAGAAAATAATAATGAGAATCATTTATCAGCTGCCTTCAGCATGCCCCCTACTGGGGATTTAGCCTGAGACCCAGGTGTGTGCACTGACCAGGAATCAAACTGTGACCTCCTAATTCATAGGACAATGCTCAACCACTGAACCACATCAGCCAGGCTGGCCTTAATATTCTTATTAAAGATATTCACACTTATATGTCTAGGAATTTTATAATAGAGACAGTTTTTCCAAGTCCATCTGAGGAAAAAAGAAAAAGACTCACTAGAACTCAATAAAACAAAATCTGACAAGGGCCAAATAAATAGTTACCCACTAAGAAACCTTGAAACAATGGATTTGCCTTTCAGTAAAGAGCCATGAAATCAATGTGCTACCACAACATTAATCCATTAGGAATCTCTTCTCAGAAGAGATTCAGTATTGAAAAAGTTATGAGCTTCTGGATGCATAGAGAGGTACAGGCTTTCTGGCAATTTGCAAGAGATTTAAACATGTTCATGAACTTTGTCCCAGTAATTATTTTTAGGAATCTATTGAAAATTTTGAAATGGAGACATTTTATATTATTTTTCATCACAGTATTTTTTTTTTTTTTGAGTTTTTAAATTGATTTTAGAGAGAGGAAGGAAGGGAGAAAGGAAAGAAGGGAGAGAGGGAGAGAAGAAAGAGAGAAGGAGAGCAAGAGAGAAACATCAGTCGACTGCCTCCTGCTTTGTGCCCATACAGGGGATCGAACTGGCAACCTGGGTGTGTCCCTTGACACAATCAAACCCACAACATTTTAGTGTACGGGACAACGCTCCAACCAACTGACCCATGCTAACTAGGGCCACAGTTTACTTTTAATAGTGAAAAAAACTGAAAATGACTTGAATACCCAACAATAAAAAGCAGCAAGCAAATTATGACTAATTCATGGAACAGATAATATTGCCATTAAACGTCATATTTACAGAGGTAGATATGATGGGAGAGAATTGCTGAAAGACAAATCATATGTAGAAGTATAAACAACTATTTAGGATAAAAACATATGCCACCACTACCCCTACCAACTTCTTAACCCTCCCCGCTCCCCCCCAAAAAAAAAAGAAAAAGAAAAAAAAACCACCTGAAAGGAATACAGGAAAATCTTAACTCATTATCTCTGGGTCAGTGGTCACCAACCTTTCAGACCTCATGGACCACCAGTTGGTGACTGTAGCTTTGGGTAATGAGATTATGGACAATTATGTCCCTTTCTGCCTATTTTTATCCCAATATAAAAGGATTAAGATTCAAAATGTTTTCTTTAAAAGATACAACTTACCAACATCATATCTAGCCAAATCATCAGTTTCCGGTGCTTGCACATCAATGTTTCCAATATCATCACTACCAAGGAAAGAGCTATCCTTAGGTGACTGACCAGAAAACAGAGCATCATACAATGCAGACTGCCCACTTTTATTGGCAAAGGATTCTACTACTTCTTTTAAAAAATCTTGTTTGTCACGACTTAAGTTTAGCAACATGTGCCCTGAAAAACAAATTATTTCCATCATTTAAAGTATACAGATTTTTTGTATTCACATCTCTCGATAGTTTTATTCATATCCACCAAGAGGCAATAACAATTATCTGAGACATAACCATCCAACCCAATAACCATATGTGGACAACAAAAAGGGTGCTTATATAAAAAAATGAATATAAATTCCAGGGTTAATAGTATCTCTGTCTACATGTTAGAGTAAAAGGAAAGAAAGATAAGAATGTGTGGGAAAATACCAAAAATATTTACATTTCAAATGGGAAAGTGTAGGATTTAAAAGTGGCCACACTCAATAGATAGAGCGTCGGCCTGCGGACTGTAGGGTCCCGGGTTCGATTCCAGTCAAGGGCATGTACCTTGGTTGCAGGCACATCCCCAGTGGGGGGTGTGCAGGAGGCAGTTGATCGATGTTTCTCTCTCATCAATGTTTCTAACTCTCTCCCTCTCTCTTCCTCTCTGTAAAAAAAAAAAAAAGAAAATACATATTTAAAAATAAATAAAAAATAAAAAAATAAAAATAAAAGTGGCCACAGAAGAGCAGGGCCAAGCTCAAATTCTTTGATCTGATACACTAGTTCTAATCTTGGTTGGTCAGAATTCTCCTTTAAAAGATTTTTAATACATATTTATTTCCAGGTCTCACTCTCAGAGATTCTGATTACACAGGTTTGGGGTGAGAAATCTATTTCAAAAACACCCTTTGGATAAAGTTCCAATATATGCTACAACATGCATGAACCTTAAAATATTATTTTAAGTTTAAAAAAGCCTGTCACAAAAGACCATATATTATATGATTCAATTTATATGAAATTTCCATATAGAAATATCCACAAAGAAACCAAAAAAAAAATCATGGTTGATTACCTAGGACATGGTTGGTTACTAAGACTAGGGGGGGAAATGGGGCATGACTGCTATGGGTATAAGATTTCTTTTATGAAATGATGAAAATATTTTTAAGTCACTTGTGGTAAAGTTTGCACAACTCTATGAACATACGAAAAAAATTAAAATGTATATTTAAATGGGTAAATTATATATTAATTTTATCTAAAACTGTTTAAAAACAACAACAAAAATACTCCTTGGAGTAATTCTGCTGGCCAATCAGGTTTGGTTATCACCAGACTATTATTTCTCTAAAAATTTGCCGAGACAAGCTCAGAAATACCCAGATCAAAGACAGTAAAACTATGACACCCTGCAAAGGTACCTATGATAGCCCTGCAAAGGTAGAAGGGAGACATAAAAAAGGTGGCAAGTCACTTCTTTAAGAACAAGTCTACCTCCCACGCACACAAAAAAAGTAGATTGTCAGCTAGAACAGCATTATAAGCGTAGACCAATAGCCTAACTACAGACCAAAGCTTACAGAAACTTTTACTACATCTTCCTCTTTACAAAGTTCATGCAATTTCTATCAAAACTGCTTTGTACAAAAAGTGTTCAATTCACTGCATGAGTCACTGAGTACATTAATAACTTAAAGATTTTGCCTTAGCAAAACCAGGTAACCTATAAACATTTGGGCTCTATTCCAAATAGTCAAAAGTAGGAATAAATCTACAAATCCTAAAAGGCTAATAGAAAGTGAATATAATCCTCTATCTTCCTTACTATATTGTCAGTTCCTTAAGAGGTATTTTGCAAGGTATCTTCTTCATCTTTTTATCCCACATAGCAGTCTTGCAAGCAACTGATAAATGGCTGGTAAATCAGTATTTATTCTTAGTATTAAAAACTTGTATAAAATATTCAGAATGGAGGCTCTAGCAGCTAGAAAGAGGAGGGTTTAAGAAGTTTCTGCATCTGGTAACACAATATCAAATACATAGCTGTTACTATTTCAGAATATACTACTTTTTTTAAGATTATTTAATCCTCACCAAAGGATGTGTTTATTTTAGAGAAAGGGGAAAAGAGAAAAATCGATGTAACAAAAACATTGATGAGTTGCTTTGTGTATGTGTCCTGATGGGATCAAACCCCCAACCTACTTATGTGCCCTGACCAGGAATCAAACCAGAAACCTTTCAGTGCAAGGGATGATGCTCAAAACAACTGAGCCACATTGGCAAGAGTAAATATACCATTCCTCCTAATTCTTTATCTTTTGCCCTAATCCAACATGACAAAGAGAAACATGATTATGACAAATTTTTTCCCGAAAAGACAGATGATAGTATCAGAAGATGCATTCTAAAAGAGAATTTTCCTTTTTTCTTTTCCAAATAAAACCAGTTAAACATCACTATTACCTGATTGGCTCAGACGATCAAAAGCCATGGTTTCCAGCAGATTTTGTCCACCTTCTCCTTTTATTAATTTAATCTTTGGTCTTGGAACCTGGTAATTTTATAATCAAAAATATTCATTTAGTGATACCCATATATTAAATAGTAAGATGGTCCTTTTTATTACAATGTATTTTTTTGATGATGTGCAGTTAACCAACCAACCGTTAGACTGGAAACTAGGAATTAAGATTATCTATAAAAGATGCCTGCAAACAGCATTCCTGAGAAATTCCCACTAAAAAGCACATTCAAATGGCATTTTTGGGAAATGGAGTGTTTAGAGAACTTTTCTACTTGCAGAAACAGAATCACCAAAGCAGATATATAAGACCCCTACTTTGCTCAGCACTGGAACCATACTTGGAAAGCCACACTGAACAGTACATTTGCTAAGTATAGATAATTTGGGATACCATTGTGATGAACTGGAAAAACCCAAAAGATTAAAAGGATTCCAAGCCTTATCCTATAAAGAAGAGCTAAAAGAATAATGAAAAAATATTAAGAAAATTACCTTGTAAAAGAAGTTAGACTTTTTAAATATCATCAAGAGAAAAAAACATTAATATGCAGCAGCTTAAGAAACATTTTTATTCCATACTTGTGGCGTGATGCATGAAATCTGTGTATCGGGGAGGAGAGGTGTCCCTCAGCTCAGCCTGCACCCTCTCCAATCTGGAACTGCATAAAGGATGATCCTAACCGCTCATTTGCCTGCTTGCCCCTAACTACTCTACCTGCCAGGCTGCTCACCCCCAACTGTCTTCCACCGCTGCCCTGCTCGCCCCTAAATGCCCCCCCACTGGCCTGCTCAACTCCACCTTCCCTCCACACTGGTCAGCTCGCCCCATCTGCTCCCCTTCTGGCCTGCTCACCCCAAACTGGCTCCCCTGCTGTCCTGGTCACCCCCACTGATGGCATGCTCACTCCTACTGGCTGCCCTGCTGGTCTGCTCACTCCCAACTGCCCACCTCGTCAACCTGATCACCCCCAACACGTCCCCTCACCCCCCGACACACACACAGGCCTGATCACCCACAACTGCTGTCCCATCCTGGCCTAGCACTCACAACTGCCTTCCCATCTTGGCCTCCAACCACCTCTACCTCAGCCCCATCATCATAGCTTTGTCCAAAAGAACATCCAGAAAGTCTCCTGGAAGGTCTCCAGCCTAATTAGCATACTACTCTTTATTAGTATAGAGGCCTGGTACACAGGTAGGGGCGGCTCATTTGCCCTGAAGGATATCCCGGATAAGGGTGGGGGTTCCCTTGGGGCATAGGGCGGCCTGGGCAAAGGGCCTGTGGTGGTTTCAAGGCCGGCCACATCCCCATGGGGTGAGTGTCCCCATTTGGGGGGGCATAGCCAGGCTGAGTGAGGGGCTGAGGGCTGTTTTCAAGCTGGCTACACACCCTTCAGGGTGAGGGTTCCTACTGCGGTGCCTATTCAGCCTGGGTGAGGAGCTAATAGCTGTTTGCAAGCTGGCCACAGCCCCCAGCAGGGACTCTTACTCCATAGGGGTGTGGCCAGGCTAGGTGATGGGCTGAGAGCTGTTTTCAAGCTGGCCACACCTTCTTCAGGATAGGAGTCCCCATTGGGGTGCCTGGCCAACCTAGCTGAGGGACTGATGGCTGTTTGCAAGCTGGCCAAGCCCCCCAATGGGGTCCCTCACTCCATGAGGATGTTGCCAGCCAAGGGGCTGAGGGCCATTTCAGGCTGGCCACACTCCCCAGTGACCCAGGCTCCCATCCTCTCCTTCAGCTGAGGCCAGAGAGGGCAGAAATTTGGCATCCTCTGTTGCTTGGGGGCAACCCAAGCCTCCTGATCACTCCAGCTCCGTGACCGCTGCCATCTTTGTTGGGTTGATTTGCATACTCACTCCTGATTGGCTGGTGGTTCAAGAGGAATTGTGGTCAATTTGCATATTTCTCTTTTATTAGAGTAGATAAGGAAACACCAAAAACCAAATTATCCAAAAATTCAAAGGGCTATCTTGAAATGTAGTGAATGTCCATCACTGAAAATGTGCAGTCATAGGCAATGATCACTTACTAAAAATATTCTACAAATTACCGTTGGGGTAACAGCAGTTAATTTCTAAAGAGTTTCTTAATTAGTGAGTGTAATGGCACATCTCTGTGATGTCAAAAGTAACCTAATACCTTGGCTTTAAGGCACTGGTTAACTTCCCCCAAAAAACTATGCTATATCCATAGACTGGAATAAATATGCAACCTTAAAAAAAAAAAAAAAAAAATGAAGATGTTATACTCATGTTATCCTTACTACATTGCACTGATATGAAAAAAACTATCAATAAATATTTCATAAAGCAAAATAGAATATACAGAATGTTGGAATGCATAAGTGTGTGTGCGTGGTGTGGTGGGGGAGGGTGCATGTGTGGGTGCTCATCTATGCATAAAAAAATTTCTTGAAGAACTCAAACAAATTAGTAACATTAGTTCCTTCAGGGAAGAGAAGTAAATGACTAAGGAACAGAGGTAGCAAAGAATTTTCAGTGTACTCTCTTTACTCAAAAGTTTTCTATGTATGTTAAGAGGCTTCTATTACATATCCATTCAATGGAAACACATGGCAGATGAAAAGAGAGAAACTAAGGTAAATGTCTATGTGCTGAAATGGAAAATGAAAAAACAGTAAGGCCGAAACCAGTTTGGCTCAGTGAATAGTGTGTCGGCCTGGGGACTAAAGGGTCCCAGGTTCGTTTTTGGTCAGGGGCATGTACATTGGCTGCGGGCACATCCCTGATTAAGGGGGTGTGCAGGAGACAGCTGATCGATGTTTCTCTGTCATCAATGTTTCTAGCTTTCGATCCTTTTCTCTTCCTCTTTAAAAAATCAATAAAATATATATTTTTTTAAAAACAGTAAGGTTTTCAACAGTAAATAAAGCACATCTCCACTGAGGCAAAACATTTTTAAAAGTAGAAAAAGGGGTATATGTTTACATATATAGAAGAAATTCTGAATACCAACCAAACTATTAACACTGGTTGTTGTCTAGAAAAGGAGACTTAAGTGAACGGGTTAAGAGGAAAATTTAATTTTTACTATTTCAAAAGGTCAAAGTTTAAAATAGTTGATTGTATGTTAATTTTAAAAAATTAAATTAAAAACTTTAATAGATTTCAGTTTCCATGAAAAATAAGAAAACTGTCAGCTACTTGAGAATCTAAAAATATTAATCACAAGAACTTTTTAGTGCCTATGTAAATTAGCAAACTTCTTTACCTTCATTCATTTTCACTTATGAACTTAAATCCTTCTTCAGAGTAAAGAATAACACTTAACACAGTGGGACAAATATAGACAGTGTTCAAGGATCCATATGATACGAATTTCAAGGAGGGGCCTCCTCTAATAGTCACTCTACAGTGAACCCTCTGCTTTCCCTCAAGCAAAAGATTACTCTCTGAAGCTAACAGTTTTTATAAACTGAGCTCAATGCATTTTTTTTGCATACTGCCTATTTTTTTTCATTTCAGAATTAATGCAAACTTACTAAAGAAAACACTAACACTAAAATAAATAAATAAATAAATAAATAAATAAATACATAAATACATAAATAAATACATAAATAAAAATTAAAAATAAAATAAATTGACTGGGAAAAGATAATAGCCAGAATCTCATCACCTAAAAATAATGGTTGGTTAACACTTTGACAGTCTCAGTGCAACTGCACGCAAACCTGAAAAATGCTTACCTGAAATGCTATGAGATAGCATAATGCAGCCAACTCAGAGAGAGCTCTCCACTGCACATCACTATGCTGACCCATCTTCAAAAGCAGAGAACCAGCATGCATGTAGAAATGTCCTTTTATTTCTAAGAAAATAGCTGAGAGTTCATCATTTCCACCCACACAAGATTTCACAGACTGAAGAGCACCATCAAAACTGTAATATTAAAATATTAAACAGATCTAAAATATGTTGCACTGTGAATAATCATGGTTTCGATATTTAACTCAAAATAAATTTATTTCAAGCTTCATCTACCATATTCAAACTCCTAACAATCCATTCTTCTCTATTTTATAAATTATGAATCACCTAGTACTTATTTTTATTCCACATATGTACCCCCTATACTTCAAGCTAAACATCTAGAATGACCTATTACAAAACTTAGTTCACGCTTTCCACTCATAGAAAAGATACAGATCAAATAATAAGATTACTGATTATGGTATAATAGAGGCCCAGTGCACAAAATTCATGCACTGGAGGGGAGGGTGTCTCTCAGCCCAGCCTGCACCCTCTAACAATCCAGGAGCCCTTGGGAGATGTCCAACTGCCACAGAGGCTAGAGAGCCTCCTGTTACTGCCCTCACCAGCTGAGCCTGGCTTATGGCTGAGCAGTGCTCCCCCTGTACAAGCACACTGACCACCAGGGGGAAGCTCCTGCGTTGAGCGTCTCTCCCCTGATGGTCAGTGTGCATCAAAGCGACCGGTCATTCCACTGTTCAGTCAAGTTGTGTACTAGCCTTTTATTATATAGGATGTTTCATAATATACCAGAATAAAACTGGAAAACTATTTATTTTCTAGTTTCTTCTCAATAATATGGTTTCATTATTTAATGATAAGTTGGAAGTTATAAAATTAGGTATGCCTTATTCAAATTAAAAGTAAGTAACAAATAACAATTTTGGTTGTCAATACCATAATTGATCTTCTTACCATATGACTACAGAGTTAAATAAATTCTGTTTCTCACTATTATTTATAATCTATATACTAATCAGTGCTTCTAAATCAAATGGTCCTCGAAGGCATGGGTATATTCCAATAAACCTTTAAGTAGAAAATCGGATAGAGAGCCCACAAGCCCTAGTTAAACCCTACACTCAACTAACATCATTATGCAAATGCAAATCCAAGTGCTGTTTTTGTTCAATGGCATTTATTTTAACAAAAAAGATACTGATCCTCAAAATCAAAATTTAGGAAAACAGAAAAATAATGTATTACATTTTCATTATCTTATTTCTAAGCTAAAATACTGTTTTCTAAAATAATACTGTACTAACTGCTTATATTAGAATATCTGACAAATGAAACTTATTCTTCGATTTTTTTTCTCAAGATTATATCATTTTTGAAAATAAAATATGGAATAGAACATTCATTTTCAGGCTTGATTCTCTATTAATCATGTCAAAACTGAATATTAACTATAAAAATAATTTAATCAAGCCTGAACAATTTTGTTATTTAAAAATCAAAGTCAATATAAAACCAATTATAATATCTCCACACAAGAATTCCTTCCAGGTGGTTCATCATATTAAATATTACCCATGTGCACACTATAAAAATGCAGTAAAGATGTTTAGACCAATGAAGTGAATTACTACAAAAAGAAAGTTTGTGATTTACACTGAAGTCCACAAAACATACCTTTCCAATAAATCTCTGCTTTCTTGTATGTCTCTAGTGGAGAGCGTAAGAAGCATAAGATTAGCATAGGCCAGAAGTAAGTCTTTATTGGTTGCTCGCCAGTTACTTTTATCAGAATCCAAACACTGTAAAGATTCCAGATATTCCTATTTTGTAGAAAGAACACTAGGTTATAAAACTTAACAAGTGTTAAAAATTTATCCATTTATGCCTATAAATTCCTTTGCCCTTTCCTATTTGTAAAACCACATTTTTATATCACCTATAAAACCACCACACACACACACACACACACACACACACACACACTCAATTTTTCAATTTTATCTTTCCAAACTATCAATTACAAATTGAAATCATCCTAATAAAAGTTTCATTTCATGGGTGCTATACATAAATAAAAGAAATTTATACCTTAGGGAGTACTGTTTAAAGGAATGTATGGTAATTATCTATATAGAAGTATAGAAACCCAGCAATGTTTACCTACCTTAAGGGTTTGTACAACACACAAATTCCATTCTAAACTTGAACGCAAAGCTGCATTTCTCTCTGCCTCATGGCAGTGGGCCACAGCATCCTTCCATCTCTTATTTGAGCGATAGAGCGCTACCAGTCTGATGTTCACATAGACATCATCAGGTCTTGCATAAAGTTCTGACTGAATCAAGTCAAAAAGTTTATTCCATCCATCTTCACCTTCACAATCCAAAAGCTGTTCCTAATTTAAAATACAAAACCATTAATTTAGAAAAAACACCTGTGCAATTTTAAACACATCATGGCTCCTAGGAGCACCATTCAACTGTGGCTAGCTTCAGTAAATTAAAACCAGAAACACTATCTTACATATTTTATTAGCCCCTTAAGTGTTGAAGCTAAACCTCAAAAAAGTTATGTGTAAACATCTATGATTATATTGGTGTCCATTTCACCTCAGAGATTGCCAGGACTACTGCCCACCCTTGTACACCCATCCCAATCATTATCAGAGCCTAGGCCTCCCATCACTCCTCATTCCAGGTCCTTATCCTCAAACTGCTCCAGATATCCCTAAATTTGACTCAGTCCCTTACCTACTATGCTCTTACATTGGAGCACCAAACATTTGCTATCTGCTCAGTGTCTTCACTCTCTGTCTTAACTGAATGGTGTATAACTTGAGATAGCCGCCATCATTTCTCTGCCACAGTAGCTTTTTCTCTGCTAACCTATAATACATACAAGTAGAGGAAGTGGAGTTTGTGACCTATTCACTCCCAATGTCACTTCCAAATAACATCTCCCCACACCTGTTTAGAACCCTGCTCTAAAGGACATGCTATGCAGCTACTCCATCTATTCCTCCTCATTAGCAAATGGAATAGAAAACTCTTCCTTCATCCTTTACTGTCATTGGTCATTATCAATTACTGTCATTATCAGCTGAAAGATAAACAACGTATATAACTGCCTGGCTACTCAGTTCTTTAACTACCTCATCTCCACTGGTCCTACAACTCCAGTCTCAGCCATCCATCTGACATTGCTAAAGGTCTTCAAAATATGTATTTTGGTCATACCAATCAGACCACCACACTCCTCACTCCTCTTATTCTTCCACCTCATAGAAACTCATATAACCTCACTGCCACATATATTTGCATCTACTACATGAAACCTCCATTAATACACTAACATCCCTAAGTTTTAATTTTCCATAGCGCGCGCGCGTGCGCACACACACAAACAGTCGTTTCTGTTAAGCTAAAATGCCATAATCCCTAATATCCATAATTACTACTTGCTTACACATCCTCTCAATTAATTCCATCTCTTTCCTTAGAAGCCTATTATCTGTGTTCTCTGTATCTCTAAAATAGCAACTATACCACTAGGGCATTTGGAAATTTAGGAAATCTCAAACTGGTAATGCCTAGAACAAATCCTATTGTATCTCTAATACTTTCTCCATTCCTTGAAAATATAATTTCATACACCTCCTCTCTCCTCACATTTCCCACACTTTCCTTCAACCCTCACTTTCAACTTATGATTACAATTCATTCTTCACTGAGAAAACTGAAGCCATCAAATGTAAATTCCATTGTGCCATATCTACTTATACTTACTTCTCTCTGCTCCCTTCACCCAGCAAAGACCAAGCTCTCCATAAGAGCTATTTTTTTTATTGCCCTCTCGCCTTACCAATCACTCTACTTCTGGGTCACTTCCATAAACTTGCACTTGGCCTTTCCATATTTGCAAAAAGCCCTAGACTTCAAGTGTATGTTTAAAAAGAAATAAGATCAACACTATTATGCTTTTCAAAAATTCTACTCTCATAAGATTGTATACCAATATTTTCATTCAACAAATGCCAAAAAACTATTTCCCTTAAGCCTTCAATTTTAAAAACCAGAATTCCTTTGCTAAAAAGTTACATTTAAGAAAGGTTTAGCTTTAAACAACATCATTAATGAGTTATTAAAGAAACTTGGGATCCTGCAGAAGCATCTTTTTTTGTTAAAATGCAAGAAAAATAATCTCCTATCATTATAAATGTTCCTTAATGTCACTGTAACCAAATGGACTGAACTGTCATGACCAATAGGAGAATTATGTTGGAGGCATAACACAAAGATAATAAGATAATGAAATTCACACACTTAGACCTAACATTTTTTAAAATATATTTTATTGACTTTTCACAAAGAGGAAGGGAGAGGGATAGAAAGTTAGAAACATCAATGAGAAAGAAACATCGATTAGCTGCCTCCTGCACGCCCCCCACTGGGGATGTGCCTGCAACGAAGGTACATGACCTTGAAGGGAATTGAATCCGGGACCCTTGAGTCTGCAGGCCAATGCTCTATCCACTGAGCCAAACCGGTTTCGGCTAGACCTAACATTTTAGATTAATATTTAAAACCCAGCTGCTTCTCACAGGGAGAAAAAAATTAATAAGCCTGTATCGTGTGTGACTGCAGTGGTGATGACAAAAATCTATAGATTTTTTAAAATATATTTTTATTGATTTTAGAAAGAGAGGAAGGGAGGGGACAGAGAGAGAGAAACATCGATGAGAAACACTGATTTGCTGCCTCTTGCATGCCCCTACTGGGATAAAGCCACAACTCGGGCATGTACCCTGACCAGGAATAGAAATGGCAACCTCTTAGTGCATAAGATGACACCTAAACAACTGAGCCACACCAGCTGGGCATGAATCTATACATGTAATAAAATTTAAAAGAACTATACATACACACTGTACCAATATCAAATTCTTGGCTGTGCATTGTACTATAGTTACATAAGATGTAACCACTATGGAAAGTTGGATGAAATATACACATGACCTCTCTGTGCAATCTTACAACTTCCTGTGAAAAATCTATAATTATTTACTAATAAAAAATTAAAATTTTATCAGAAACATGTATAATGAAGGTAGGTAGTTCTTAAAAACAATATACACTAAAATTTCCATTTAGCTAGCACACTTGAAAAGATTTTATATCCAAGAGTTATTTTGCAAACCAGTATATTATATTCAGTAAAGAATAACAATCAGAACTGGTTAATATAAAAGCAACAACTTCCTATCATTTTTAGCAATTAACTGTAACATCCTGGAGAAACTGTCATTTAAGTTTTGCTTGAAAACCTCACTATCCCATAGCACAATCCTTTCCATTTTTAGATAGTAGTTCGTTAAATACTTCATAATAACCCTAAATTGTCATCCTTTGGATAATTTTCACCAAATGAAGTAAAAATTTTATACCAAACAGCTCAATTTATTAGCTCCACCATCTAGTTACAAAACTGTAAGTCCCTAAAATGTTAATCACTGCATCAGGATAAATGAGATATCATTTGTAAACCATAATAGTGCCTAATAAGGCACAAAAGTTCTGAAGAAAAAAATTTTGACATTCTTTTTTTAGAGGTATAATTAACATGTCATTGTATTAGTTTAAGATATACAACATAATAATCCTATCTAATAGAGGGAACATGCAAATTGACCATCACATCATCACTAAGATGGTGGCGCCCAGTCCCTCAGCCCTGCTGGAGTCCCATGGTCCTTTCAGTCCAGCCCGGGGGGGGGGGGTGGGGGGGGGGGGGGGGAACGGGACAGCAGGTACACCATGTAGCCAGAACTGTTCTGAAACTCCCAGCTGCCTAAGGCCAGCATGAGGCTCAGGCAAGTCTCAGATGGTGGCTGCCCAGCCAGCCACCAAGGTCACCTCTGGCAGCAGCAGCAGAGGTGTGATGAGGGCATCGCTTCCTTAGGCTTCCGGACTGTGAGAGGAACAGACTGGGCTGAGGGACCCCGCTCTTTCCAGTGCATGAATTTTCATGCACCAGGCCTCTAGTTTGATATATAAATACTGGAAAATGATTTCCACAGTAAGTTTAGTTAACATCACCTCACAGAGTTACAAATTAGTTTTTACCATGATAATAACTTTTAAGATCTACTCTCTTATCACCTTTCAAATATACAGCACAGTATTGTTAATCGTCACCATGCATGTTGCACATTACATCCCCAGAATTTAATGTTATAACTGGAAGTTTGTACCTTTTGACCACTTTCACCCATTACCCACCAACTCCCCACCCACACACACAATATTTTAATGTTTCCTATTAAAAAGTCATTTAACTCCAAATATTAGAAATAGTTTTGACTTCCTTTAGTTTTCCCAATTGCTTTTATCATATTTTATTCCTTTTTACCTTTAGTTTATAAATTGCAGGACTTCCTGGAAAAAGTTTAGCTGCTCTTTCAACCCAGTATTTTGCTCTTCCATCAGTAACATCATTTTTACAAAGCAATTCTGCAATCTTCAACACAAGATCTTTTTGTGTTGGATTTAATTCCACTGAACGCTATCAGAAAATAAATAATAAATTAGTAGGATTCCTAAAGTACAGATACTCATATATAAACATAAAAAACTCTATTCCTAAATGGTAAGATGCTATTTCAAAGTTATTATAATTAAACTTAAAGTGTCCTAAAATACTTTTGAAGATAAATTAATAAAAATTATGTTTTTATTAGATATGTCAGAAAGAAAGAAGAAAAAAAAAAAAAAGAAAGAAAACCACACACATAAGAATAGCATTTCTGACCACGTTAGGCTTAAAAATTTATATGTGTTCTTCTAAAATGCTAACCTCTTAATTACAAACATAGTATACTTTGGGCCAAATAATTTAAAATCAGTTTCATGTTGTGCCACTTTTTTTGGGGGGGGAGGGGGGATAATCTTCACCTGAGAATATCTATCCATTGTTTTTTAGGAAGAGTGGAAGATAGAGGGAAAGACAGAGAAAACTATCGATGTGAGAGAAACACATCAATTGGTTGTCTCCTACACACAAGTCCCAACCAGAATCTGGGCCAAGGAGGAGCCTGCAACCAAGGTACGTGCCCTCTGACCAGAATCAAACCCAGGATCTTTTAGTCTGCAGGCTGACGTTATATCCACTGAGCCAAACCAGCTAGGGCCAAGCTGTGTCACTTAATAGTACTGTGATACCTTGTTTTCATGACATCCATATTAAACATTTGAATATGAATATTATAAAAATTACTCTGGGCATCGTGTGTTTGGCTGCGCAACGCCTAAATTTTAATCTTACATAGTTTACCTTATAACATTCAACAGCTTTGTCTATGTTTTCCTCCACTTCATAAAGAAGACCAAGAAACCTGTGAGCTTTGGGATCCCTTTCTTGAACGTTAATATATGTAGATATGTATCTGTTTAAAAAGAAATAATATAAAAATAAGTAATTTTTAAATAATCACATTTACAGCTATATTTAAATAACTGAAGAGTATATCTTAAACCAAAGCAATCACTCAACTAATTTATATTATAATTATTAACTACCACTCTTTAAACTAAAATATGAAGATAACTCAAAGTACTATAACACAAAAGGTTAATACTTAAACACAAACACACAAAGCTGACAGCATACTAATATTACCACTAAATGCTACATTTATCAAATGGTTTTTCCAGTGCTACCCACATATAATAAAAAATACATAAATTGTTTTTTCTTCCTGATTACATTTTGGAAAAACACCCAAGAGTTTACATAAAAATCAGAAAGTGATGAGAGTAAATATTTTAAGTCATCATACTGTGAATAGTTAAGAGCAACAATTTCCCAAATAACAACTAAGAGAACATACTTATCTTTAAACAAGAAAATAATATCTAACAGTACTGTGTACCCAGCTAACGAGAGCAGAGAAAAAAATTACTAAATATAGTACTAGCCAAAGCCGGTTTGGCTCAGTGGTAGAGCATCGGTCTTCGGACTGAAAGATCCCAGGTTCGATTCCGGTCAAGGGCATGTACATTAGTTGCGGGCACATCCCCAGTAGGGGGTGTGCAAGAGGCAGCTGGTCAATGCTTCTCTCCTGGATGTTTCTAACTCTCTATCCCTCTCTCTTCCTCTCTGTAAAAAATCAATAAAATATATATTTTAAATATAGTACTAAATGAAGGTAATTTTCATTTCTTCAATCAATTAACAACTAAAAATAAGGAAGTCTCTTCTAGATTCAGTGAGTGGTATCCTAAGGGCAACACTGAAGAAAAAAAGTGTCACATTAATAAGGAAGGAGGGTTAACAGCCTAATGCTATTAAATAAAAGTGCTTTCTCCTTATCAGCATTTCCATCTTCCCATAAATTCCTTTAATATCCTACCTCCCTCTTCGTTTTCTGCTTTTCTCTACTGCAAATCAGCAAATCAGATCAACAGCCTTCTTGGCCATACTATGTGTAAGATAAAGCTTCAGTGTGACCTACTAAGTCAATTAAAAATCTTTTATACAAGCTAGTCTCCCATCCAGAAATCAAAGTTTAATTTTGTATTCATTGTTTTCCAGCTGATTAATGTACCAGATATGCAACCAAGAAGAAATTAAGATATAAACATGGTTTATATCTAACCTAGGACAATCTTTAGAAAAGTATTTTAAGGCAAACAATTTCTTGCCTTTGGTAGGCACGCAGAAAATACTCATCCTAGGCTCAATCTCCAAGGAATCTAGACTGGTCCTTAAGATCAGTCTTAGTGATAAATCCCTTATTTCTAGGATATACTTAGAAAGAACTGCTAAAAAAACAGCAACAATTTTTTACCCATTTCAAAGAACATGAGATACGGTAAGGCACTGATTTTAGAAAACTAAAACATGTTTAGTTTAGTACTTACTTCTTAGCAAGCTCGTATTCTTTAGCTTCATAGTATAGCTTCGCAAAATAGAATCCTTTCATTGATTTCTAAAAAACATTAAAAGTTCTTTATTTTTCATACTTTAAATTTTAAAATTTTTATTAAGAAAAATCTGTCCTAACAAAATTACTGATTTACTTTTGTTCACTTAAGAGGTAAATGAAATTGCTTGTAGAAATGCATGTATGCTCTGAAAGCTATTATTCCACATAACAATTTTCATCACAAAACAAATTTAAGTACAGCAAAATAAAACCATATAGAAATTAAGAATTTATGTCAGTGCCCTGGCCAGGTATGGCTCGGTTGGGCATTGTCCCATGCACTAAAAAGGTTGTAGGTTGGATTCCTATAAGGGCACATACCTGAGTTGCAGATTTCAACTCTGGTGGGGTGCATGTGGGAAGAAACCGATCAACCAATGTTCTCTCTCTCTCTCTTCTCTTTCTCTCTCTCTCTCTTTCCTTCTCTCTCTCCCTCTTCCTCTCCCTTGCCCTCTTTCTCTCCTCCTCTCTCCCCTACCCCAGACCCTCAATGAGCATATCCTTCAGTGAAGATTTAAAAAAAGAGATACTTTGGGATAGGAGGAGAAGTATACTAAAAACCTCTCTTCTACCATGTGAAAGCCTTTACATGTAAGAATAAGCAGATCTAGTAAGGCACTGGAGATTTATTCCCTGATCCAGGCACTATTCTCTGTACAGAACAGTATTTTATACTTAAGAAATTAAAAAGGCAGAAATAAAAATTGAATTCTTCTGGTAATAAGCCAAGTTCACACCCAGGTTCTTTTATTTCTATACGCTCCAAAGTGCAGAACACTGGGACACAATGGCTAGTGTTATATACATGTGATAAGAGTACACAGCCATTAAATCTAATTTTTTAAAACTATACAAGGACACAAGGAAAAAATCAAGATATTAAGTGAAAAACAGTAGTCTACAAAGTAGTATATTTTCATTTACTGATAAGCAGTTAGACAGACGTGATGTGAGCAAGGATACCAGACAAGTAACAAAACATGGGCCTCATGCCCCCCGCTAATCTTTCCCCTCGTAACATATCCCCTGGTCATGGGGTTTGAATTCCCTGACCATTCATATTGATGTTCATGGCTTTAGCCCCTCTGATCTTTTCCTCCCTAATGATAACATTTAGGCCTCAGATGTATTTCATCCCCAGCCCAGAAAAGCAGCAAAACCAGACAACTAATACCATGGCTTTCTCAAAACTAGTTGCACTGACTAATGACCCCTCTGGCTCCGACCAATCAGCTGAGACGAGGACCATGAAAGAGCACACCTAGAAAGCTTATGAGAAGATGTTGAGTATCCGATTGGTCCGAAAATGGCGAGCAGAGTATGGTAACCTCATTGAACAAGTGGACAAGGAAAATGCTAAAAAGCGCAAGTGTGGATCAGTTCGGCAAACATTATTTTCCGAGCTGGAAGACCTGACCTGTGAATGGGTTGTTGACAGGAGAGCAAAGGCTTTGGTTGTGAATAGGGTTCAGATTCAAGAATTTGCCCTTGCAATGGCACCACAGTTTGACATAGCCCCCCGAAGACTTCAAAGCATCACAACACTGGCTGGATAGTTTCCTTTAGGGAAGTGAACTGTCTTTAAGAAGATCCACCAGTACAACATTGTTTAGGTCGAAGGATACTCAAGTTATTAAGCGAGCACTCGCATTCAAGTCCTTTATTCATGATGCTGACTTCTCTAAATACAATCTTTCCAACATGATTGCTATGGATGAAACTGCAGTGTTTACGGGCCAATCATCTCAAACAACAATTGAACAGCAGGGTGCCTCCTTAGTGTACATTCCCTCCACTGCTTACAAAAGTGCACGTGTTTCCTGTATTTTGACAATTCGTCTGGATGGCACTAAAATCCCACCTTTAATCATTTCTAAGGGCAAGAAGGAAAAGATTGTTTTGGGCATTTTTATTCTTGAAACTGAAAAAGCCTGGGCCACACAAGCAGTTATAAGGAAGTGGGTCGATTTAATGCTGCCGCTTGCTATGCGAGGGAGCCAAAGAGGTCTGCTAGTCTGGGATGCAGCCAGCACTCACCACGCTAAAGACATGAAGACATTTCTTCACGAAAGAAAAATAGATCAGATAATGATTCCCGCAGGAATGATGGCCTATCTCCAGACTCTTGATATTGCAATAAACAAGCCATTCAGAGACAATTTGGGCATGGAAATTAATGACTACATTGAAAATAGAATGGAGAGAAATCAGCGTGGGAAGTTTGTGAAACCTAAACTGCAAGAAGTTGTGACTTGGGTGAAGAATTCATGGGAGAAAATCACTGACAGTTGCATTGCAAATGCACTGCGAGCAGGCCACCTTGACAAGAAGTACTCATTTAAAAACAGTGCTATTGCTAAACATGAGAGATTTGGTCCACTGATTCTGAAAGAAATGGAGTCACAAGAAATTCACCAGGAAATTCAGGAATTGGATTGTTATGATGATGTTCCAGAAGATGATGACATGGTTGTCATTGAATAAATGAGTAAATTCTTGATACTGTAGGTTTCACAGTTTGTCTGGTTTGTGTTGACAACTACCGTACTACCGTACAGTATACAGGTAATAAATTTCCTTTATTTTCATTTAACAATAAATGTGTACCGTATTCTTCATGGAAAAATAAGATATCCCCTTAAAATAAGACCTAGCGCATCTTTGGGAGCAAAAATTAATATAAGACACTGTCTTATTTTGGGCAAAACAGGGTAGATAGTAGATAAATGGCATATGAACTTGCCTAAGAAGTAACTAGGCAACATCAAAGAGGTTCTGTCTAAATGCTTCTAAGAATCCCCTTAATAAGACAACATAGTAGCAGGATGGAATTTCAGATAATTTCCCTTCCCCCACTCCCACTGCCTTCCCTGACTGAAGTATTCCTTCATTATTTACCACAAAATCCCATTTATTCCGAGCACTCCATTTATACAAGTAGTAATTATTTGTCTTGACTTTATGAATGTTTGTCCTCAAAATTGTAGGCTCTACCAGGATAAGGGCCCCTGTGGCTGGATCCAAGAACATTATCTGACAGGCGGTATGTATTCAATATTTACTTAAATACAGGTAAGTTTGTATACCCACTGATTATGTCCTTATGATAAACTAGAAGCCGGGTACAGGAAATTCATGCATGGGTATGGTCCCTAGGCCTGGTTGGTGATTAGGGCCGATCAGGGCCTTCTGGCTGCCGGCCGGGGCCTTCATTTGTTCATCCCCCCCCCCCCCCCCTGTGTTGGTCAGCACACCTCATAGCAGCGATCGAATTCCCAGTCTCTGGTCGACACTTTGCATATTAGCCTTTTAGATAAATAGATAGAAAGATAGATAGATAGATAGATAGATAGATAGATAGATAGATACCGTGTTTCCCCGAAAATAAGACATCCTCCGAAAATAAGACTAGTACGTGGAAAGATAAGACATCCCCTGAAAATAAGACCTAGCGCAACTTTGGGAGAAAAAAATTAATATAAGACACTGTCTTATTTTCGGGGAAACAGGGTAGATAGGTTTCTAAAACTTGATTAGTTTAAGCAATATACAAAAATTTGAAGTTTTTGCTATGGTATCAATTCTCCTCAATAAAGTTTCTATTAACTTCCCTACTCAGTATTCTATGCCTAAATCAGAGTACATACAGTCTTTGGGTTACATCAGACTTGACGTAAGTCGTTTCATGGTTATGTCACCATGTCCCATTTATTTATTTAAAAAAAAGTTCCATCATTTTGACGCATGTACACATGTGCTTTATGTATTTTATTATTTACCACAAGTAAAGGTCAGGAATTGTTATCTTTCTTTTAAAAATTTTTACTGTTTCATTTAATTATAGCTGTGTATGTGCTCCATGTGAGTGACGTAGGTGCTTATGTAGGTGGGTTTCGACTTACTGTGAAATCATGTTACATCACACCATAGGAACAGATCTCCAACGTAACCCAAGGACCTACCGTATATTCATCAATATTGATTTTTTGAGAGAGATCCAAGATGGCTGCTCGGGTAGACATCTAGCCGCGGCAGCACACAACAATTTCAATGGAATACAACTAAGATGTAGAGTGGACATTGCCCAGAGCTACAGGTAGTCGACTGACTGAAATTTCTACAACAAGAAGGAAAGAGAAAACCAGAAAGAAAATCAGAGGAGCTGAAAAAAAAAAGCCTAAGGTACGGAGACATACTGCGTGCGCGAACGCCCGCACGCGCGCGGAAAGGTCGCAGCCGGAGAGGAGGAGAGGGCGGGGTGCTGCCTTTCCTTCCCTAGCAGGAAGGAAATAAAACCCCCAGCCTGGGCTGAACCCCCGAACCGGCAGCGCTGAGCCCCCCCGAACCGGCAGCGCTGAGCCCGTTATGGGCCAGACCCTGGGGACCCAGGCTCCGGCAGGAGGAAACGTGGCTGTGAGGCAGAAAAGTGGTGAAAAGCAGGGCCCCCGCAGAGGACTGAATGTTGACTCTGATGCTGGGTTACCCTAGCCGGAAGAAACAAGGCCTCTGGCTGCACTGAGCCTCAGTCCGGACTGCTCCGAACCCCAGTTCTGGGCCAATCCCTGGGGACCCAGACTCAGGCAGAGGGAGACGGGGCTGTGAGGTGGAGTCCGGGGAGAGCGGCGAAAGGCCGGGACCCTGGAGTCACGTGCATACTGCGCGCAGAGGACAGTCTGTTGACTCTGATGCTGGACTCCCCTAGCGGGAAGGAGAAAAAAAGCTCCAGGCTGGGGGAACGCGGTGGGGAGCAGGAGCCCCTGCCGGACGCCGGCCAACCGGGCACCAGCGAGGAGCCCGGCGACGGGGCCCCTGGCGAGGGGGTGCCCCTGAGCCTTCCACCGCTGAGCGCAGGCAATGGAGCCAAGGCCAGGGGGGCTGCTTCCTGGGCGGCGCCGTCCCTGGCAACAGGCTAAAGCAGCGCAGGAGCCCGCGGAGAACAAAGAGGTGCCACAGGCCAACTAGCTGAGCTCCCAGGACAAGGAGGAAGAAACCAAAGAAGTTCT